TTCTTGTTCATTTTCGAGTCCAGATGGTTCGGCATCCATTGAAGTTGAATTTATTATATTTGCAAGTTCATTCGTTATTGCTTTTGAAAAATTTATGTAGTTCTCCTTGAGTCAAAAAGCGGGACTTTTGAATCTAGGATGTAAAATTGTTGAAATGCCACATACAGTTCGTGTTTCGTAATAATTTAATCTTTTGATTACTCCTTCTTTTAATGATTGCAATAACTTTTTACTACATTCTTTATTAACAGAATTTTCTAGAGCTTGACGCGAAGTCCATGAACAATCGGGACGATTGAAGATATGGTAATGTACTGTACAGTACCTGTACGATACGTATCGCCCGATACGCTGTTAATTGCTTGCTCAAAGCACTGCCGGCCCGAGGAAAGTTTTAGGATGGAGCGAGATCCTATTATGGCGCCTCCCTTGGTTGCCTGTAATTTATACCCTTTAATTTTCTTTACCACTGAGGCGCCCACTAGGACTTAGCTAGTGGGCACCTCAGCTTAGCATGAGGTGCCGTCACATGGTGAAAGGTGTGACGTGAACTTTTACATATTCTGTTAATTTCAAGTTTTATTTATATATTTTTATCACAGTTTTTGTGTTTCTTAATTTACATCTGATATGGAGAGTGCCAATGGTCCAATGGCATGAAGGTTGAGAAAAGCGAAATCCTACTCGGGTTTAATATACAGTGTACACCCGTATACCTAGCACCAATCTGCTTTATTTCTTTAGCTTCTGTTGTCCTATCCTAAAAAACAAAACGGTTTTAGGCTGAAATATTTTCCGGTGAAACTTGTGGCGCGATATGTAATAGCATCAGATCACCGGACAGTTTTCCCCTATATTTACCCTAAATATTACCCTGAGACGTTGAAATTATCTAAGAAAAGGGAAATTACCCTAGAAACGGCAGCACTGGTCAACATGTTTCACTAGAAACCTCGATATCGATAAAAAGTAGAACTGCATCTTTTTGCACTTGTCTTCAATTCTTAAGAAAGTGGTTGTTTATTTTCCAACCGATATTATTCTGTAATTAACAAACATATTTAAACGCGTTACATACCGTATATACATTTAAAAAAAAGAAAACAGTATATGAAATTCAAAATATTTTTATTTTAAATTTATTAATTTGACGAATTTGTTTTCGAAGAACTGGTATTTGATTTTATTTGTTAACCGTTTTTGAGATGTAATAATTAACGATTTCCGAAACATTCCCTTTTCCTAAGAACTTGTAACTCTTAGTTGATAATTTATAACTCATACCTCGTAAGTCAATCACATTAATACATATTTCACCAATATTTTTAAAAAATGCTAAATCGTATGTTTGATATGCGTGCAAACATTTTTGAGTTACGAGCAATTATTTTATTGTGACATCATCGCAATGCCGTGTTCCAATTTTTAATCATATTTTAAATTTATTTCATTTAAAATATATGCTCTCCACCACAAATTAGTACTGGCTTGCTGCTCCTATACATCATACTTTGGAGTCGTGCTGGTCATCTATGTAACCCCTTTCCGGAGAAAATATTTGGATTAAAATAACGTGAATCGTTTCGCAACGGACGTTCGTATATAGTTAATCGGGGTCCCCTGTTTCTATAATTTCTATATCTAGTCTCGTCCTTCATCTATTAACGCCGTTCTCGAGATTAAGTAAAGACAGTCGGACGGACAGACAACAGTGGGAATTTGTGGACAATTTTTTTTTTTCAAATTGCAACCCAATTAACCGGTTCTCAGTTGATGGTCGTCCAGTTGTGTACTCTTATCCAGCGTTTCTAAAATGCAATATTATCTTTTAGGACTAGAAATGAGATTCTGTTTGTATTGTACTACACTTTTAATTATAAAAACTACATTTTTTTGTAAAATTAAATACGTAATAAAATCCATAAACTGTAAACATAGTAGAAAAAGTTACAACTTGGAATATGAAATTATGAATGCTGTTTACATTTCATCAATAATCAGGATGTACAAAGAACAAATGCAGATAATTGTACAAGGTTCGTAAACGTACGAGCCTGCAAAAAATGTAAGAAGTATATCCAAAAATTTAGAGTGTTGTTAGTCATAATGAATTTTCCCAAATAACAGTTAATTGTTAACAATTAACGTTCCTAAACCGTTTTGCCAATTCTAGCGTCTACTACAAAGTCGCATATGTGCAGATTAACTTAAGGGGCAAACCGTTTCTTCACATGAAACTACCGTGTTTCCCCGAAAATAAGACAGTGTCTTATATTAATTTTTGCTCTGAAAAATGCGGTAGGTCTTATTTTCAGAGAATGTTTTATTTTTTCCAGGAAGAAGAATTCACATTTATTATAGAACAAAAAATTTCCTAAGTCGAACTTAGACGAGAGTGACGTATATCCGGTGTGCCGAACTGTCGCCTTTTTATAGCGTCAACATCGGACTCGAAGACCAATTAGTACTTACTGAACCGCAGAACTAGGCAAATGTCATGTGGCGTTATTCCCGGCCGACCAATTAGCCATCACCAGCCGTAACGTTATGCAAATCTGTGATTCCCAAGCCATAGTCTTATGCAAATCATGCCGTGTGGCGTAATTGTCTGCTGACCAATCAGTGGCTGTACTTTCAAAAAGCCAACGGCCACTTTCAACCATCTAACGAAGACCGTTACGACTAAAAAAAACTTCGCTAGGTCTTACTTTCAGGGGGAGGTCTTATATTTCGCAATTCAGCAAAATCTGTGCTAGGTCTTATTTTCTGCGGATGTCTTATTTTCGGGGAAACACGGTACTTGTCGCTTATACTATGGTTATACATTTCATCCAGGCAGAGTTGAGTTTCTATTTATTGCACTTCTTTGTAAAGTGTTAGGTTCAGTTTTTTGTTCAGTGTTAGGTTTCGATTGGCGATGACGGAACATTTTGCTTTTAATATACAGTATGTATAGAATAAATTTAGATTATTGCATTTGCAGGCATTATGCATGAAATACGGCCTTTTTATCTGTATTTCATGCATAATGTGTAAAAAATTATTTTGTTTTAAGGGTCGAGAACGGATTAATTTATTTTATATTGTTTCTTATGAAAAAATTTGTTTCGGGTTTAGAACAAATCGATTTTCCAACAAGTTTAGGAACAAATTAAGTTCGAAAACCGAAGTTTAATTGTACTGTGGCCGCCAGCGCCAGAGATCCTGAACACTGTCTGGCAACACTTGCCAAGATCACGAACTCTGTCTGGCAACACTTGCCAAGATCACGAACTCTGTCTGGCAACACTTGCCAACAAGAGTGGCTGGCAACGTCAAAGAAGAAAAGGCGCGAAAGTTCGTTGGATTTTGTCCGGGTGTTGCCCGAGGATGTCTGTGACAGTTCTAACCTTTTCTAATAAAGTTCTTTTTTGTTACTGTTCGTGTTTGCCTGCTTAATGTTAGATCTAAACATCAGTAGGATTGAATGACAAAGTACTAATAAAATGAATTATTACAATTTAATTTAATTTTTTATACATATTATTTTTCAACGATGTCGTTTATTTTGGGTCATCCACAGCACTAGGATGCCTTCCGGAACGTTCGTTCTCACTCTCGTCCAATTTCACAAGTAAACAATAAATACTCTTAAGATAGCGACTGCGTTTGTCACGTGATTGTATGTATTATCAGGTGAGTTCATCATGCGTAGTCTGTACATTGATATTCGATTGGGTCCTGTATATACAGAGTGGGAGAACAAGTCACTTAACACTCTTGCTACCGAATATAGAATGCACCCAAAGTTAATTCGCTCATATCAAAAACCCATTCGACAAATGAGGAAACTGATTGGTGTGTTACACTCCGCCATCTTGAATGCAATTCCGAAACCGTAAATGGGAAGAGGGTCGTGTGACACATTATTTAGAGTCAAATTTTCACAATTGATTGCTGAAAAATTTATTTTACCACCTGTTAGTTACTTGATGTGCTCAATGTACCGTACATTCTATATATTCTGTAGCAGGGATGTTAGGTTACTTTCTTTCCCTTCTTTCCTGTCAGAGCGTTGACTAACTATTGATGTTTTCAATACTGAAGAGTCTACTGTTAATAATACTTTCCAAAATAATTTAAGTGTTGCCGGTTCCTCTAAACTTGAAAGACAATAACTTTTTTTATTCAAGTTTGGGGCGAGAGGGTCACAGTATTTAGATTTGTTCCTCGGACTGTTCTACTGATGAAGTAAAACGGCAGTTTGTTATGGCAACGCAACACTTGGGCGATCTGCCTAGGACAGGTGTCGGCAACCTGCGGCTCTTTGGATGTGAAGCTGCGGCTCTTTAGTTCCATACGCAAATATTATTTATTTTATAAAAAAAAAACATTTAAAAATCGTTTTGAATCGATTAACGAGGATTAGGCACCGATTCTATCTCTCAGCCACTTGTACTCGCTTTTCATCGCACTCCTCCCCCTGACACGCGTCGTCACTGTCGTCAGTCCGTCGGAAGCTCTCGAATGACGCCGTCGTCGGATGTTTCTATGAGGTTTAATTCGCTTTCGACGCAAGACAATTCTGAATAGATTAGTTTTTTTATCAAAAACTTTATTTATGCGAGTACTATTTATTGTTGGCAAGAAAAAATTTTGTGGCTCTTTAAAAACTTCGAAATTTTGTAAATTGTAATTTTTGGCTCTTCCGACTCAAAAGGTTGCCGACCCCTGGCCTAGGAGATGCCTTCCGGGAGGTCTTTTTAAGGAAAACTGGCCCCTATTTAGGCGTTACAGACGTGGGAAAACCCAGAAAAATAACGGCAACGGATCATTAAGTAAACAGTATTGTAAATTTTCTCGTGTTTCTGTATACGCATATTCAAATGTTAAACGAGTTATTACTAATTAAAATAAAAAATAAATTCGTCCACACTCAGTAAATCATACAAGTACTTTAAATAGTGTATTTTTACTAATTTAACTTCCATTTATTTATAATTTTACAACACATTTCCCGTTTAGTCCATAAAATCGATTTTTTTAAAAAATCTAAAATGTAAAAATTACAAATCAAGAAAATGAAACTAATTTGTTGTTTTCAATAAAATATAATTACGAGTATTAAATGTTTTTTAAATATATGCAGCCTGCCAATCATTTTTATCCACTTTTCTTTTCCACATTTTGCTTCGCAAAAGACATTATTCACGATTATTATTATGATGTCTCATAATATGATCATATAAATGCGATCTGAAAGTGAATTTGTGTGTGCAATAATTACAAGAGAACGGCTTCTCTCCTGTATGAATACGGAGATGGTCTATCAGGTGGTGTTTTTGTGTGAAACTTCGTTTGCAATCCTCACAAGTGAAAGGCTTCTCCCCTGTATGAATTCGGAGATGGTTTATCAGATGTTGTTTTCGTGTGAAACTTCGTTTGCAATCATCACAAGTGAAAGGCTTCTCCCCTGTATGAATTCGGAGATGGTTTATCAGATGTTGTTTTCGTATGAAACTTCGTTTGCAATCATCACATGTAAATAATCTCTCTCCGGTATGAATCTTCTGGTGACATTTAAATCCATATCTCGAAGTAAGTTCTTTCTTGCAAGTTTCACATTGATATTTCCTGTTCATTCTTTTACGCTGTGATAAACCTGTAAAATATGAAAAATACAATTAATAAAAATATTGAAACTCTAATGTACATTTATATATTTCTTAAATCAATAAAAAAAAAGTATTTTTAAAGAATTGACAAAGTTTTGTGTGCAGATATAAATGTAATTTGCATCTTCCTCATAAGTTTTCTTAACGAAAATGTACTGTACTCCAATCATATCATTAAATCATATATACTAATTATTATACTTAGACCAGCATTGACAAATATTTCCGACAAGCATAATCACTATCACAAATTAATATAATTTACATATTTTTTCTCAAAACAATTTATATGCAACGTTGCAAAATAAAATAGTTCAAAAATAATTTTAAAACATCATTCGATCTTCTTTTCCCCTTCATTTGCACAAAAAATGTTTTCTTCTTCGATATATTCTCGTGTCATTTCTAATGGCCGTTTTAATTTTTTTTTCTTCCACAAAAGAAAGTACTGTATTACACACATCCTTCCACTTTTCTTAAACAATTCGTCAGTTATTACACAGAAATGTCTTCTTTTGGTCGACGGCGAATCTGCAAATAACAAAGTTATGTATGAAACAAAATACGAGAATAACATCGAACAATTATTTTGTAACTCTAATTGAATATTTCAAAATTAAAAACAGTAATAATTATACAAATTCCACTTTCTACATTTTAATCGCAAAATTTCGTCTTCGCTCAAAATCTGAAAGAAAAAGAAATCCAATTAATTTTTCTCACTAAGGAATACGCATTAATTAACCGAATTCGTAAGTGACATCAATTTTGCATGCGATTTTTAGGAACAAGTATCTGATTGAACAGAAAGTTCTCGCACTTTTTGGAACTTTCTGGAATCTTTTCTGAAACATTCTAGAATGTTCCATGACAGTTTATAAACAGGTTGGGATACGTGCTATAAGAAAATACCAAATCCAGTCCTCTCATTTTACTTTACCATGACAAACCAAAGCTAACCGCTAACCAAAGAGCAAGTTCGCTGCTCCTCGTTTATGACTACTGTTCCAAAAAAAGCAGCCAATTCTATCACTGACATCGATGCTGCGTTAGGGCCGGACACTGTCGCTAGAAGAACTGCATACGACTGGTACGAACGCTTCAAAAGTAAAGATCCCTAACCCAAAGATCCTAAACCCAATTTTTGATCATGCTCTCTATCTTCTGGGATTCTAAAGGAATCATCATGTTCGAGTTGCTGCCGCAAAATACAGTATAACCATCAACGCAACTTTCTACTGCGAACAACTCGACGTCTGCAGCAGAAACTGGCGGAGACCCGCCCGGAACACTATCCTGCTCATGATAATGCACGGCCACATACGGCTAGGCAGACCTGCTAGAAGCTTTTGGACCTGAACTGGGATGTTCTTGCCCCACCCGCCGTATAGCCCTGACATTGCACCTTCGGATTACCACCTGTTCGCCGCACTCGACCGTCTCCTGGCTGGCAAGGAGTTCAACAATGAAGCCGATTTGGAGGCCAGCCTGACCAACTTCTTCGAGTCGCAGCCGCCACAGTTTTATCGAGATGGCATCCATTCCTTGCATAAGTGTTGGCAGGAAGTGGTCAACAACAACGGTGATTACATTAATAATTGAAGTCAATTCTGTACATAAAATTTTCTTGGCTAAATGAAATGCGTCCAAAAGTGAGAGAACTTTCTGTTCAATCAGATATATATTTTTTAAATGATTTTTGGCTGGAAATTTGCTTTGAATTAATATTATCCTAATTAAAAGTCACTATAAATAATTACTTTGGATTGTCGTAGGGATCCGCAGATAAATTCAACAAACTGGCAATATACAAATTCATGAAGGTATAAATGTGCAGTTAGGTACAGTACACACAATGGCGGAACTTCCGGTCGCCATCTTGTTTGTGAACGCTATGCCCACAAACAAGATGGCAAACAACACAAATACTAACAAAACCGTATTATAAATAAAATTGTACTAACGATTAATATAGTTTTATTTGTTTTTCTTCCATTTCTTCGAAATGAATTATGAATCTGCAACATCTTTAGTGACTACGTCTTATCTTACTTGACACTTTTTCCGTACTTTTAACACACGTTTCTTCTTTCTTCCTCTTTCGATTTTCATTATTATTCTTGGGATTGCTGTCGGGACAGAAGGAACAGTTTCCGGCTCTTCTCATATTGGTGCGTGGCCCGCTCCTGGAAAACCTTACTCAAATGCCAAAGAAACAACTCGAAACGTTCTGGTTTTTTCCCATCTCAGAATCTTCTTATATATAAAGGCATATAAATACGAATGGGATGAATTGGCAAGTTCTTTGTTTTTCAAACAAAGCCACAATCTTTCAATTTTTTGTGTATGGACACCGTAACCGGATCGACGAAACTTTCTGCGCGTTTCAATTTCGTTTAATATCGACTCCTCCTAAATCATCGATATGACTATGTATATCCTTTCCATTCGCCTGTGCCGACTCTAATTAGTTATATAAATATTGAAGCTTGGTACAAATTATAAATGCTTCTTGAATTTACTAATAACCCAGTTAAGACTAACTTCTGACTTGTTATTTACTTAATATACGAAACATGAATTATCATCTCGACAATCTTTCGGGGTCCACCAATTTTCATTTGGAATAAATTATACAAGGAAATTATCACAACGTGGTCTTACGGAGTTCGCCCAGTCGACAGCTGTATGATAACTCACGTCCACAACCAAACAGCTCGTGCTCAACGTACTGTACACTCTATGCAGATTAGATGCCATACGAAGGAAAAAATAGGTTCCCCATGAAATTTTTCCGAATTTATCTTTAAAGGTTCCTTTGAACGGCGAACAGTTCATCATGCATTCGTGACATCGAAATAAAATTGAAATCACCATCCTTCCTATAAATTAATATACAACGACCTTCGCATTTCATCTACAGGTTGTAAACCTAACTTTATGGCAAATTTAACATGTGACGAAATTCTTTTATCAACATCCGATTCTAAATAACGAAAAAATCCATCGAGGTCCACTGTTGCCCTTTAACACCTTCAATTCTTATTACACAAATATACTTTAACTTCCTCCCGGCCGTTGACTCGAACGACTTTTGGAGACGCAGTTGCGAGTTGCAACGGAACATTTTTCAAATTCGAATGAATCGCGTGGCGCCGTCTTCAATTTAAAATATAAAGTTTCAATTTTTTACTATTATTTTCGAAAACGAAATGTTTGAGAGTAAAACTTCGAATGATATTTTACTCGAATACGGTTACGACGAATAAAATCGTAATAAAAATTTACTGCAAATAAGTGCTTTTGAATGTAATATGAGTTCGTCTCGTTAATTCGTCTACGTGCCAAAATGCAGTTTCTCCACTCCGATGTCCTCCGAGTCTCTTGCCTGGGTCTAAAATGTTCCGATCGTATAATTAATATTTCTAATTTTTTACATATTATTTTACCAATATTAGTCTATTGCAGGGGTCGCCAAACATTTATAACTGTAGACCGCCAACCACTTTCCAAAACCTCACATTGACCCCCAAGGTAAAGTTTTATCACAAGTGTAGGTGTATGAGCAAAGAAAAACAAAATAGAAAGTTGTGACCCCCTAGCCGCATCGACCCCCAATGATGTTGCATCGACCACTGGGGGTCGATATCGACCACTTTGGCGACCCCTGGTCTATTGTGACTAATCAAAGTAGAAAATGTTCTATACGAACAGAACATATCGACCCTAAAGCAAGCAAACAGAAGGGCCGCCGCAAAATACAAGAGAAAAATGAAATGGATTTTAAAAAAGCAAAGATCGGTCAACGGGAATATAATACATTTATTTAATTAATCAAATTTTGAATTTTCGCGCAACTGAAATTTTGAGAACTGAGGACGGAAACACGAGCATATAACTGTAAGATGTGAACTCAGAATAAGGATTTCTCCCCCCAGACCGGAATCGTATACTCCCTGTACTAGCAAAAATGTCAACGGAATCGTACCTGTACATGCCAACCTTCGCCTTCAAAGGGTCCACGACGACGTTTCTGGTTATCTGACCCCATACTCTCAAAGAACGCTATATTATAAAGAACGCTCGGTCTATGGGTGTGAGGAAAGGCTTTAAGGCCAAAAAATCGTGCGCGCTTGGTTTTTTAATGTTTCGCATTCGCGCGTCCCTCTTCTCTTGCCACTGTCGGCATTTCCTCTTTCAATATCACCATTATGTCCTTTCTCTTCTTCTCGCATCTTTTAGAGACACCGTCTATCGCATGTAATCATAAATTTTTATTAATATTATGTCAGTTTGCTGAGTCGGGATTTGACTCGTCTTCGGCGTCGGATATTCACTTTTTCTCTACATGCCCAAGAGGCATATGACGGAACCACTTCATAACTCATATTTCAGGCAAGCAAAGATGAGGAAGACGATGCGTATGTTGGTCCATCCATGCTTTCTTCGTCTTAGAAAGATAATAGTGAGGTTGTGGCCGATGTTTTCAACACGAAAACGTGTACGTCGGACGTTCAGCGTCGCCTTCCCGTAAGCCTAGAAGTTTGACCATGGCGTTTGGAACGTCGAGCATGATTCCACTGACGTTCCAAACGCTATTGTCAAACTTATAGGCTTACAGGAAGTCGGCGCTGAACGTCCGACGTACACATTTTCGTGTTGAAAACGTCGGCCGCAATCTCTCTATTATAATTTGAAAGTATTTTCTAAAATTTCTAATACTTTTATCAGGTTGTAAAGATGAAATTTAGACATTTCAAACTTTTTCCTAGTAATGACTGAAAAAAAGAATGTTCTATAACATGTAGCTATAAGCAACCAGGGAGCATTTAATCACGTATTGCATTGGAAATTGCACCTCTTTAGGTTTAGCGGTTTGCTCTGGGCGATGATGAATCAATCAGTGAGTCAGGACAAGTAATCTAAATATATAAAATTATTTGTCCTGACTGACTGATTGATTCATCATCGCCCAGAGCTGACCTAGTGGTGAAATTTGGTACACAGTTAGGATACGTTATGAAAACGCAAGCTAAGAAGGGATTTTTCGAAATTCCCCCCGTGGGGAGAGGGAGAGGATTAAGGCTTAACCTGAAGAATGGCTTCTACTATACTATTTTAGATACGATTTTTTGTTTTCAACTACGTTTAGTCTTCATTGAGTACTTAGGTGTATTAAATTGACAACATTTCATACATTGTTATAAATACTGTATTTTTAATATATTTCGATTTTTTAAACATAATGTTCGAATCGTTTTAAATTCGAATTTGTTATTGCACATTGGTTCGATTATAGAACGATTGTAAACGTTCCAGAAAATTGATCAAATTAAAAACAGTTCGTTTGGTTCTCAGCAATTCTTCAACAGGTAGGTGTTATATAACAATTACTATGGTTGTTGAAATACTGAATATAAATGGGGTTTGCTTGCAAAATATGCGCGGGCGAAGTCGCGGGTAACAGCTAGTTTTATAAACTGTATTTAGATAATGAAATGAAGTCTCAATTTTAGAATTCCAGCAAATTGAGTACAAATTCACATTTCACTCATTTCGAATTCATTGCAATACTTATTTCAAAAAGTTGTAACTTTAATGTATGAAATAATAAAGACTATTTTATATCTTAATTTTTTTGATAAAACCTTACTTTTAATATAAGGACTCAGAAATTAGTTATCTCAAAATTTTTCCCCATGCATTTTCAACCTGAATTCAATATATTTTCCATTTATTTCAAATAATTTTCTCTCTAAAACCTCTATCTCAAATTATGGACTGAAGTGCCAATTACATATTCAAAGCTCAGCAACTATATTTTGATAGCATAAATTATGATGGAGAAACATCTCTTAAATATAGTACATAGTTGCAATTAATGCTGCTTTTCTGTGTTTGGCTCGTGTCTTATTGGTTGAAAAAAGTCAGGCATCAGAAGGTATGTCAAAAACGTTTTATTTATACCTAATACAGGTATGTGCTGTATTTGCTGTTGTATTAATAAAATAAATCAAACCCATTACCAGGGGCGTGCCGTTACATTTGATGATAGGGAAGCTGTGTTTCTGTAAGAAGCCGACTTCCAGGGGCAATCAGTCAGTGATGGTTTAGGGTCCATTCGTATTCGATAAGCCAGTAAAAACCGTAGACTTCTTTAAATGTATTTTTAATTAATAGATTATCTAACGCACTTAATAAATAAGCAAGTTCAATATAATTAACTCTGTTATATTAGATTTAATTGATTCTCTACGCCAGGGGTGGCCAACCTTTTGCATACCATGCGCCAATTTTTTGATAGACGAGTTCAGATGCGCAGTGGCGTACCGTGGGTGTTAGCCGCCCGGGGCGGAGAAAAATTTCGGCCACCCTTTAATCAGGTATTTCAATTTAAAAGATCAAAATTCAGTTGTGTGAAAAAAAATTAATAAAAAATGCGGTGGTGGTGTAGTTACCCGTACAAAATAGTCCCGTTTGACATTAGTGGCATACACGATTGCGAATGTATCGTGAATCGTAGAAGCAAAAAAAAAAAAAAAAAAAAAAAAAAAAAAAAAAAAAAAAAAAAAAAAAAAAAAAAAAAAAAAAAAAAAAAAAAAAAAAAAAAAAAAAAAAAAAAAAAAAAAAAAAAAAAAAAAAAAAAAAAAAAAAAAAAAAAAAAAAAAAAAAAAAAAAAAAAAAAAAAAAAAAAAAAAAAAAAAAAAAAAAAAAAAAAAAAAAAAAAAAAAAAAAAAAAAAAAAAAAAAAAAAAAAAAAAAAAAAAAAAAAAAAAAAAAAAAAAAAAAAAAAAAAAAAAAAAAAAAAAAAAAAAAAAAAAAAAAAAAAAAAAAAAAAAAAAAAAAAAAAAAAAAAAAAAAAAAAAAAAAAAAAAAAAAAAAAAAAAAAAAAAAAAAAAAAAAAAAAAAAAAAAAAAAAAAAAAAAAAAAAAAAAAAAAAAAAAAAAAAAAAAAAAAAAAAAAAAAAAAAAAAAAAAAAAAAAAAAAAAAAAAAAAAAAAAAAAAAAAAAAAAAAAAAAAAAAAAAAAAAAAAAAAAAAAAAAAAAAAAAAAAAAAAAAAAAAAAAAAAAAAAAAAAAAAAAAAAAAAAAAAAAAAAAAAAAAAAAAAAAAAAAAAAAAAAAAAAAAAAAAAAAAAAAAAAAAAAAAAAAAAAAAAAAAAAAAAAAAAAAAAAAAAAAAAAAAAAAAAAAAAAAAAAAAAAAAAAAAAAAAAAAAAAAAAAAAAAAAAAAAAAAAAAAAAAAAAAAAAAAAAAAAAAAAAAAAAAAAAAAAAAAAAAAAAAAAAAAAAAAAAAAAAAAAAAAAAAAAAAAAAAAAAAAAAAAAAAAAAAAAAAAAAANTCTTTCTCTTTTAATAATGTTTTCTTTTTCATTATAAGGTCTCGAGCCAAAACTTTTTGAAATAAATTTTCAATATCACAATTACATTCTAAATTGCTAGCTATAATATAAGGGCTAAAATTAAAAATAAAATTATAAAAACTTACTTGTTAAAATAAAATGTGTGATGAAATATTCGATTGTATGAATATAGTTTTGTGAAGAAACGTACATAAAAATAGCATAAGATATTCTTTACTTTTTAAATATTGAAACAATCCACTTAGTTAAAAGTGGATGTGAATCAGAGACGATCTTGGTAGGTGTGCGGTGCGTGCATGCGTGCCAAATCCCGAGGGTGCCGATACCGGTTAATGTCTCTTTTGTCTAATCACTAGTATATCTCAAAGGAAGCAACAGTGTTGTTGTAAATTTTAAACGTTTCTCGTCATAGCTGTAAAAATCTAAATACGTTAAACTTAATAGATTGTCCGTCTTTTGTTTTCTAACTAATTCGTTTTAGGACCAAGGTGTTGTCCACGGAAATTTCCAAAATTTACAACTTTTCGGTCACTCTCGTCGAACTGGAAAAATTTCTGTCTTTATTACATCTAATACAGTATTTCGAAGAAATCGGTCCCCACTGTACTCGGCTATAGATGTCCCCAATTCCTATATGTCCCCAATTCCTATATGTCCCCAATTCCCTAATCGCTTAATTATTTAACTACTTCTTAAGTAGAAATAAGTCGAAACCGGTTACTTTGTACTCGAATATTTGTAGTCTCGGGGAAAAAGTGGGAAGACAAATTTTTATGACAAACGGATACATAAATCGTAAATTTAAAGAAAATAAATTCTAGGGCTTTTTCTGTACCTGGTGCATCTCTCTCATTCATTAAATTTAGTTGTAAATGACGCTGTCGAAGTAACGGTTAATTTTTTAATATTATACAAGAATTGTATACGTTTTTTTCTACATCCCCTTAAAGATGGGATGTACGAAATCGTAATATCACTGGTTTAACATCGAAATCCGTGAGTAATATAAAATCGGAGAGCGGAATAAATATATCAAATATTTTAATGGATTTTTTAAACTCCTGTCAACTATACAGAACTATCGTAAAAACATACCAGTAAATTCTTATCGGTTGGGTTAAGTTATAAATCTACTCGTTATTCACGTAATCGGCCAAATATCTAGCGGGCGGGCGGCTAACAGCCCAGAACCGGTCCCGGATAGAATTGGAAGCGTTGGAATGTGTAGCATCAACTCAAGGTCTTAGGCTTCCACCGGCTAAACTGGGTGAGGTTGGTGATCTGTAAAGCGCGTGCGCAAATCTGGCTTTTTGGAATCTGACAATACAGAGATTCCACTCCGCCACTAATATTCGAATATACAATAGCAATCTTTTTTTTCACGTGTAGTATAGAAATTTGTAATAGGATACATAATGCGGTTATAATAAAATATTGTGCGATTATTTTCATATAATTAAAATTAATATGTATTTATTTTTTATAAAATACAAGGGAAGCGGCGCTTCCACCGCTTCTAATGACGGCACGCCACTGCCTATTACTGTTTGCTGTGTAGGAACTTCTATCTTGAACCCTACCTCAAACTTTTTTCTTGTTCCTGTGAGATTTGAGATGGACAAGTTCAACTGTATAACAATTCCAAATTCATTTCCTTCAAGTCAATAATTGCTTGTCAAGTAATTCAGTTACTTGATTTTTTCAAAAAAATGTTTCTAACCTAAAATTAGACAAGCCTGTGTCAAATTTAAATGTTTAAATACACTTGCATGAAATAAAATTGACCCTGTGTAAATTTCTTACCTATTAATATACAGGTAACCCCCGTATAACATGGTAGTTACGTTCCAAAAAATTGCCGTGTTATACGAAGCAAAGAACTAGTACGATAAGGAGGGTTAGGTTCCAAAAATTAAAAACATGCTATTATATTTTCATAATTAATATAAATATCTTTATTAAAATTTTCTTAAGTGATACATATTAATATAAATTAAACAATGTTTTCTTCGTCATCGCTAAAAGCACTATTAACCGAGAGCGTTTTCTTCTCGGCAAGTTATCCTTATCCTCTGAGCATTTTTCTGCATTATCTTCAGATCCATGCTTTTCCTTTTGCAAAAAGTATGTGATTTTAAATTGCTTGTTTCTAGTTAAAAGGTCTTTATAAATTTCCTTATATGGTGCTAAGCACTTATGAAGAATAAAGCAAGTATGGAATAAGGGAAAAACATTCGGCAACATCAGAAGCAGAAGCGTCGCGATCTGGCAACATTGAAACAAGTTTCGAGAAGGACCACGTGTATCGACAGAAGGCGAGAAGAGAAAATTTACATACTTAAGTACTAATAGTTCACGAAAATAATAATTTTCGTGAACTATTATTACTTAAGTATGTAAAAATTTATTACATTTCATGTTGTACGAGGTTTTACCCAATTCTCGAACCGTGTCAGAGTGAATCCATGCTATAAGAGTACCGTGTTATACGGGGGTAGTACCAATTCTTGAACCGTGTTAGTGAATCCGTGCTATAGAAGTGCCGTGTTATACGGGGGTTACCTGTATAGTGATAAATGTAGTTTGTATACTGGTTACTAAAAAAAGTTTTAGGATTTATGTCATAATTCCAAAAATATTTGATTGTAAACATAAATGAGTTGCTAATAATGTGGCAATATTTCTGTTAACTTAATATGTAATTATTTCATAATGTGTAAACATTATATGTAAAGGTAAAATTCAATATCCTGTAACTTCATTTATTTAATCTGTTAATTTATTCTCACAATATCTATACATTTATGAATACATTAAGAAGATATTTTTTAACGTTTTTGATTTATCAAAGTAGAAAAATAATCAAGCAACTTTAAATTTAGTCTTTTCTTTTTTAATTTATGAAATTCGGGCCAAGATAATTTCTTTAAAAATTAAGTTTAAATATGTCATAAACAAATAAGTTTTTACTCTGACAACAAATTTATATTACATCGTTAATTAAATATTTACTCTTGAAAGTATAATTAAAATATCTTATTAATATCGATATTACAATAAAATTTAATCTGTCCTCACTAAACAAAACACACGATTAAAATATCATAAATACTTATTTTAAATTTTCAAAGAACAAACATCAAACACATGATACACAATAATCAATAACATTTATTACATTTTTGACATTACTTTCAAGAGTAAATTCTCTTTCTAAATAACATTCATAATATTTGAAATAAGCATCACTACATAAAACATGTAGCAGCCTAAGTAAAAGTGCTTTTCACAGAAAGCAATAAAAGAACAATTGCTATTCTTGACTTGATCCTCACATTTACAGCAACCATATTTAAAAACTATATATAATAATTCAAAAAAATAATTTGTTTAAATTGACTGTGTAACAGTCTTTATAGAATTATANTCAAAAAATATTGTACTGTACTTGTATGTATTGTTTGCTTGAGAATACAACAGAGAATAAACTGCCCAAATACCCTTAAACAAAGGAAAAGTACGTCCTTTATGAAAGTGAGAGAAATATTTACATATTAAAGTGATATAAATACAATATATATATATTTTTCTCTTTAATATATTAGAATTTGCAAATATTTAAATTTATCGTAAATCAGCTGTGCTGAATAATTTGAACAGTTTCTGCTAAGCAGCTATTACGTATGAAAAGTTTAAACAGCAAGGACAAAATCTTTTGAAACTGAAACTGTTGGTTTTACGTATATCATAAAAGCATAAAATGCTTATAAATAATTATATGACTAAGCAATATATTTCCACTTGAAAATTTTACTCTATGTGTTGACTGATGTTTATTTTCCTATGGAAATTGGTTTTTTTTATCAACAAATACCTAAGTAGATATATTCCTGTAATTTGAAATCAATGGTCCCCTAAAAAAGCATTATTAGAAATGTAGACTTTAATTATCTTGATTTGAAGACTAGATTTTTGTAATGTAAACAAAACTATAGAGGCTGTTTATGCTAATAATTCAAATTACATTTTATGAATTGTTTTAAGACTTCTTTTAATTTTCAAATAGAGTTAGTATTTTGATATTCATCACATTGAGTTAATTATAATTTAATTATTTCAATTCATCATATTTCAGATTCTGATGGCATATCCTCAGAATCCCAACTGATATCATCAATATTGGAATTTGACATTAACAATCCTTGACTAGTTGTTTCCATAGATGGTGTTTCTGCATTATTAGAGGATAGAACTTTTTCTTTATTGATGCAACATGAAACTTCCCACGAATCTTTGCTTGCACTTTCTTCAGTTATCTCTAGTTTTTCAATTCTTTTATGTTTTTTACAAGACATGGAAATAGAAAATTCTTCACTCATTTGAGATATAGATATCGGACTGTCATCTTGCACCATAGCTTCACCTGCAAGACTTTTAGGAGATACAGAACGAAACTTGCAATTTTCTCTGACACACTGAGACTGTTCTCCTGAACTTGAACTTTCTTCTTGCTCAACATTTATGCCAAGTGATTCAATTTGATCTTGTTTTGGACTCTCTGAAGAGAAGGAATCATCTTCTGATGAAGGGGAAATAGAAAAATCCTGGTTACCCCTGTCAGTATGTGGCTGTGGTGGGAATGATGTGCTTGACCATGCACTATCATCTGATATTACACTACTTTGTAAGGAACAAGATAAATTAATAGAGTTATCAAAACCATCCTGAGGTGAAATAAAACTACCTTCAATACTATCAGAAAATTTTGATGATTCTTCTACAGTATCATCTTGTTCTAAATTTGTCTTATAAGCTGCAACACTACCAGAAGCTTCTAAAACAACAACAAAGTCTTGGGCTGGTTCTTTTTCATTTTTTTCCGTTTGTTCCAATGAACGGTTCTCATCATATTCTGGCTTTTTATGATTATTTTTAATTGAATTTTCAAATAGTTTTTTGATTGGCAATGTTTCTTCTGTTTTTGGCAGTTTGAACCTCCACTTTAATGATTTTCCAAAATGTGATCCATTTTCATCAGATATATCACAAGGTAAACTTTGAGAAATTGCACCATCTTTTTTATTATTTATTTCATCAAAATCTTGTTTCTTTTCTGAGTTTTCACCTTTGAAAATCTCTTTTGAGAATTTTCTTTCTTCATTATTGTCCAATGACTTAATATGATCTGCAAAGCTTCTGCCTGAGTGAAGTGTAAAACTACGATGTTTTGGATGTTTGGAAGTTTGAGAAGAATGTGCTTTTAAAAAGGAATGACTCCTCATTCCCATTTTTCTTACATTTTCACTAGACAAGGGAGAATTGTCCCAAATTTGCTTCAACTTTTTGCAACTTGGTAGCGTAGTTTCAGAAAGAGATGATGATCTTCTATAAGATTTGTATGATGAAGATGATAATGAATGATGAGAATTTAATTTTTCAGATGCATTACTATAATATGCATGAAAGCTAGATGACAGTCTTGGAGGAAGTGAGTTATTCTCAACCACTGGAGATGATTCTGAAAAGGAAAAATATTAATTGAACAATTTTAAAAGTAAAATATTTATATTTTTTTTTTATTGATTTATTACCATTCTTAATATTTAATATTTGCTGTTTCTGCTACAAATATTAAACATATTAAAAAATTTCAAGTAGTAATATTGAAAATAATTAGATCTAAAAAAAAATAATAAATTTGTTACAACAGTTCTTTCATCTTCACACTGGGCTTAAAATAAAGTATAAAAACTCAAAAAACCCTCACTGGCATCCAGTTACAGAATTAAATCATTAACAAACAAATATCAAAAATTTTAATCAGGACTCAGGAGTCCAAAAACATTTGTTAATTTCATTGGGCTGCAATTTGAAAAAAATTGTAGACGTAAATTCCACTGTTGTCCATCTCTCTGTCTGTCCTTCCTTAATTTTGAGAATGGAGTTAGATAGATGAAAATTAAAAGCAGATATGGAAAGTTTAGGAGCAGGAGGCCTCTATTAATTATATTGCACTATAAGTCACATTATTTCAAATTCAAAACTTTCCCCTTAAAGGAGTTAGATGACTGGCACAACTCTATTGTTAACAAGATAAGTTTGATATACAAGGACAAGACACTACTAATTTGAGGTGGAGAGCATATATTTTAAATTAAATAAATTAAAAACACAATTAAAAATTGCAGCGATGCACTGTAATGATGTCACAATAAAATAATTGCTTATTTTGTAAATGGATGCCAGTGAGGTTTTTTTGAATTTGTTACAATTTAACAATTACTATTGTTTTTGAGAATTTAGAACAAAAATTGCATATAAAATAGATTTAGAAGTTATTTAATTAAAATGTTAATACAGTAGAGCCTCAAAAAACTCGAAAAAAAGTGGACCGAAGGGTGGCCGAGTTTGTGAAAATGCCAGGTTATCGGGAATGGGGTTAAAAAAGGATAAGTATGCGTGTTTCCTCAGAAAATATTGTACTGTACTTGTATGTATTGTTTGCTTGAGAATACAACAGAGAATAAACTGCCCAAATACCCTTAAACAAAGGAAAAGTACGTCCTTTATGAAGGCATAGAGCCTTTACTACATGAAAATGAAAACTAATGAATACACTGTGTACAGTAATTTACTTGATAAGACAGACCTCAGAAAAATACTTTATGAGGCATAAAGCTGTCTATAATGAAAATTAATTAATTAAGGATTTTTTTGCCCTGCCAGGGTATGGCCGAGTTATCCGGAGTGCTGGATTATCAAGTGCCGAGTTTTCGAGGCTCTACTGTATTTCAAAGTCTTAGCTTCAAATTAAATGTATCCAGTTATTCTCAAAACCTATAACAAAACAGTTTTTATCTGCCAAAATCTTAAGAAAGTTTTTATCTCGCAATTTGAAATTTATTTCAATGAGAAATTTGGTGACGAAAAATGAGCCAGTTTTAACTATTTCCACTTTGTATTTAAATTTCCAAAACTTATTTCTACTTTATATTATAGTTCAATTTCTATATCCATTCTATTTTAATTATACTATCACCAGAGAGACTTTTAACTTTCTTTTTGTATGTATGTATAACAGAGTGCTTCTGAGCTCGACCAGTGTACACACCCATCTCATCCTCTGACCCACTATCCACCAGATCAGCAGCTTCCACCTTCCTCACAAAGTAGTGGAAGATGCACATGGGCAGTGACTCATCAAGAAAAAGGCATTGAAGAAGGCAACTGTCGACTTCATATTTCGAAACGAGTCATCTACGCTGACATCAGGCTCATGTGCTCAATAAGAAGATAGAAAGATTCCAGCTTTCAAGCAGTTTGTAGAGATGGTCTCGTCTCCTGTAGGGTTTGGGCAGGAGAAGGTTCTCGAGTACAGTACCTCCAGCATGTACTCTCCCTCAATCTCAGGCACCTCTCCAGCATGGTCCTGAGGATCCTGTCAGTCAGGGGATTGCTGTGCAGCTCGTCATTGCGGATCAACACCTGTGCAAATACGTCCTTAGTAGACTGCTGATAGTCATCAGTCATAGAGTCCTGTGCATGCTGTGGGACAATTTAAACAAATTGGATGGTAAAGAGGATATGCTCCCCTTGAAGAAGCAGTGTGTTTTCGCATGCAGACAGTATAGAAGCAGACAAGAACCTCAAGAGAAAGTCTAATCCACTGAAGCCCTCATCAGATTATTGTTGGATTACAAAGGTATGAAGAAGGAAGAAATATAAAAAGTGCAAAAACAGAGGCAACTCTACTGTCCTGGATTTTCGCTCGGTGTACCCATCGATAGAGTTGCTTTAGTGTTTTTGCACCCTTGAGGACTTTCTCTTTACAAACATACACAACGAAGAATTCTATCAACATATTTTGGAGTTGACCCATTTGGTTTGTTACAACTCGATTTTTCAGTTCGGCAGAGTGACTTATATGCAGGGTAAGGTTGTCCCCATGGGCAGTTCGGTCTCTGGGGATTTGTGTGAGTTAGTAATCAGGCAACTGGAGAATAGAATACTACTGAATTTCCTCCAAAGCATCATCCTTTACAAGCACTACATGGACGACAAATGTGGAGGGACTTCCGAACATTGCTTGATTTATGGATGGAAATGAACAACAATCCATATGGCCTATTCCTGGAGATTGTACAGCATAGCAACTCAACAGTGCGTTTCCTGGATTTGGATATTATCTTTGGGGGACCGAACATGCACACCTTTATATACCAGAAACCATCCGACCATCCCACCTACATTCTGGCAAACTCAGTCCAATACAAGTTGGCTGCATTTAGGGCCCTGGTTAAAAGAACCCACACACACTCTTCTAACCAACAGGCATTAGATGAGGAGCTGCAATACTTGCATAACATAGCCAAGCAGCATGGCTATCACAACATTATACAAAAAATTTCACAACAGATCAGTGGAATGATGGCTCCTTCTTCCATGGAGGATAATTCAAAAAATAGCAACCAAACCAAAGATAAGCAGATAATTCCTATTACCTACAACCCACTTTTGAAATCGTTATATAGTAGAATCGCATGCAATGGGATATCTCTCTGGCATACAGAAGATGCCCCTCTATATTTCATATACTACGCAATGGAAAAAACAGGTCTAATATGGAAAGACTTTCAGGGGTGTATAAGGTCCCACTCAGAGACTACCATTTTGATAAAGACTTAGTATACATAGGTTTGACAAAATGTGCTATTGGGCTCAGATCGAAGGAGCATATGTGTGACATACAGCACAATAAATGCTCCACTTCATTATCAACTTACGCATCTGATTCGAGATCATAGCAGACTTTTCAAAAGCTAAGTTAATTGTTACCACATCATGTTTAGACCATCCCAAATGGTTGGAGCAGATCGAGATCTATAGGGCTTACAGTACATCATCCATTAATTCTAGAGATAAAATCATGCTTTGCTTGGCTTGGCAGGCCCTAATGCAGCCGGAAGATTAACTACATCTTATGCCTAAAGGGAGGCATGTAAAGGAGTTTATGATGTGTGGTTTCACTTGGCAGCAAGGCTCTCTGATCACCATATGGATAATAAAGAATAATTTTTTAAAATAACATTTGATGCTATGTAGAAACTTTTACATTAGATGCTGTTAAATGTGTGATTCCATTCTTTTTTATCTTTAAAAATTGTTCCAAATGATTCTTTACCTGAAGAAGGAAGGGCCCAGGAGGGGTTTGAAAGCAATTTTTCTCACAAAAAAACCTTTAACCGGTGCAAAATTTATTTTGCACCGGTTAAAGGTTTTTTTGTGAGTAATGTGTTGTAATAATTTTAAAATTACTTTTTAAAGATAATACCCAAATGACCACTAACCAGATAGGGAAGCTAAAAAGCTTGAAGTTTCCATGGATTGTTGCAATTTCCATTGCAATTCCTCTTTTTCCATTGCTAGTTTCTTGTTTATATCAGATTCTTTTTCAAAATGCTCTTTTAATTGCTCATGTTCCGTTGAAAGAACACTGTAAAAATAAAATATTTATTAAAATAGTGACTATATTTTTAAAAACATTCTTAAAAATTGATGATTAAAAAAAAATATATCAGCAAAACATATAAAAACAGATATGAAATTTTTAACTCAGGATTATTTTAAAATAAAAAACAAAAAAAACTCAAATTTATTTTAGATTGTCTTAAAAATTCCTATAGACTATCATCCTTAAAACTAATCACTACAATCTAATAATCAGTCAAATATGTTTCATTTTTGATTTTTAAAAAATATACAGTAGAGCATCGATTATCCAACTCAATTGGGGACTCAGATTGGTCAGATAACTGAAAAATCGGATAACCGAAAATATTGAAAAAATACATTATTAGTATAGTATATTAGTATATCGCTATTAACCAACTTCACAGTGAATTTTCATCGATGTTAATCTAATTTCTTTAAAGCCTAACAAATTCTTTAAAAAATAATAATCGTCGCTATTGTATCGTTAAAAATTATTTTTAAATTATTGTATTGCTAACAAAACAAACCACCACTCATAATTAGAAAATTAAGTCTCGTTTAAATACTGGCCTTCCTTCAATAGTCGAGCCAGTATTGCCAGCTAAAACATGCAAAAATTTAACAAAAATAATATTAAAGTAGCCAAGACATAGCCTAATATTGTAATGCCACATCACTAGCGGACATTTGAAATTTGCCGACTAGAACAGTCGGTTAACCGATGTGACGGTTAATTAATCGGGGATTGGATAATCGATGCTCTACTGTACTAACAAAGCATACAAAATACATCTAGCAAATAATTTCATGATTTGTGATTGCATAGACCAGAACTATTATTGTAGTTACGAATCAGCACATCAACATCAAAATATATCATTTCAACATTATAAGCATTTTCTATGAGCACTTGCTAGATAGGTTAATGCCAATTCTATGCTCTGGAGAGTATTTGATATTGTGTGAACTGACTTTCTCAACAATTACTTAATCCCATCGCATATTCAGATAACAGACAAATTATTGTTGCTTCAGATTAACTCGTGTTATAATTATTCAAGATACAGCTATCAAAATTGCCAATTTTCTACTTAGTGACACTGCTTAACATAAGAACTGTGAGACTTTCTGTAACAATATCTAGAACTGCTGACATCGGTCAAAATGACTGCTATTCTATAGTATGCTTTTTACAATTTGAAATTGATTTTATATCATAGATTCTATAAAATGATCATAATATTATACATAATAACTAAGGACTCCACTTTTAACTGTACCATTTATTTTTCTATAAGAAGTCAAGAAGTCAGTGAGACCATTGTAGCTTTAGCATGTTTATACTAGCAGATGAGCCTGGCATTGCTCAGGCAAAAAGTAATGATATTGAAAATTAAGATTATTAGATTATAACTGATCTTACCCATTTTTACCAGGTGCAAGAATTACGTTCACCCTCTTCTGAGACTAATTAGAGAATTTTTAGATGGGTCTGAAAACATGTACAGTAAAATCTGAATTCAGGGTAATCCTTTACCCTCTCCCTCTCCTCCACAGGGAAAATTTCGGAAAGTCTGTTCTTTGTCTACATTCTCATGATGTAGTCTAACCTACTAAATTTCAATTTTCAACTCCTAACCGTTTGGGCTCTGCGATTAATGTTGTTGTTATTGTTATTATCATCATCATCATCATCAACCCATCTTGATTATATTATAAGATTAAAGTCAAATTTATGGAAATTTCATTTTCACTATTCTATTTATCGGATATCCAATAGAAAAAAAAATGATTAAAATCATTATCGAATTTTATCTGAATAAATTCTTAGTATTTAAAAAGATTTTTTATTTTAGTAACCTAAAAAATAAAAAAAATCAGAAAATTTTTCATTATAATGGAGAATTAACTTACTTGATGATAACCTTTTTTGAATAAAAATGATTAATTTTAAATTTTAAAATCTAAAAAGACTTGTGTGGAACATTATATTTCAAATTCAATATTCCAAATTTTTGGAATTTAGAATGAATTTGAATGTTCGTTCGAATTTGTTTATTTTAGATATATTGTTTTTGAGTTACCCAAAAAGTGGAAATGATTAAAATATTTATTAATTACCAAAATGTATACTATATGTGCCACTTTTTACTTTCCTTCTTTATTTCTTACACTTTATACTGGCTAAAACTAACTTTATCCTCCTCTTCCCTGGGGGGGTGAAATTTCCAAAAACCCTTCTTAATGTGCATTCTCATGGCATACCCTACTTAATCATAGTCAAAAATGCAAAAAAACCGCATCTAAAATAGTACAATAGAAGCCAAGTTCTTCAAGGTAATCCTTAACCTACTACCTCTCCCCATGGGGTGATTTTCCAAAATTTCTTATTAGGGTGCATTCTCATGGCATACCCTACTAAAATGCAGTTAAAAATAAAAAATTGCATCTAAAATAGGACAGTAGAAGCTGGGTTTTTTAGGATAAAACTTAATCCTCACCCTTTCCCCATGGGGGGACTTTTGAAAAATCCCTTCTTAGTGTACATTCTCGTGACATACCCTAACTGTGTACCAAATTTCAACTTTCAATTCCTAACCATTTGGGCTCTGTGCTTATTATTATTATTATTATTAACNTGAGCCTGGCATTGCTCAGGCAAAAAGTAATGATATTGAAAATTAAGATTATTAGATTATAACTGATCTTACCCATTTTTACCAGGTGCAAGAATTACGTTCACCCTCTTCTGAGACTAATTAGAGAATTTTTAGATGGGTCTGAAAACATGTACAGTAAAATCTGAATTCAGGGTAATCCTTTACCCTCTCCCTCTCCTCCACAGGGAAAATTTCGGAAAGTCTGTTCTTTGTCTACATTCTCATGATGTAGTCTAACCTACTAAATTTCAATTTTCAACTCCTAACCGTTTGGGCTCTGCGATTAATGTTGTTGTTATTGTTATTATCATCATCATCATCATCAACCCATCTTGATTATATTATAAGATTAAAGTCAAATTTATGGAAATTTCATTTTCACTATTCTATTTATCGGATATCCAATAGAAAAAAAAATGATTAAAATCATTATCGAATTTTATCTGAATAAATTCTTAGTATTTAAAAAGATTTTTTATTTTAGTAACCTAAAAAATAAAAAAAATCAGAAAATTTTTCATTATAATGGAGAATTAACTTACTTGATGATAACCTTTTTTGAATAAAAATGATTAATTTTAAATTTTAAAATCTAAAAAGACTTGTGTGGAACATTATATTTCAAATTCAATATTCCAAATTTTTGGAATTTAGAATGAATTTGAATGTTCGTTCGAATTTGTTTATTTTAGATATATTGTTTTTGAGTTACCCAAAAAGTGGAAATGATTAAAATATTTATTAATTACCAAAATGTATACTATATGTGCCACTTTTTACTTTCCTTCTTTATTTCTTACACTTTATACTGGCTAAAACTAACTTTATCCTCCTCTTCCCTGGGGGGGTGAAATTTCCAAAAACCCTTCTTAATGTGCATTCTCATGGCATACCCTACTTAATCATAGTCAAAAATGCAAAAAAACCGCATCTAAAATAGTACAATAGAAGCCAAGTTCTTCAAGGTAATCCTTAACCTACTACCTCTCCCCATGGGGTGATTTTCCAAAATTTCTTATTAGGGTGCATTCTCATGGCATACCCTACTAAAATGCAGTTAAAAATAAAAAATTGCATCTAAAATAGGACAGTAGAAGCTGGGTTTTTTAGGATAAAACTTAATCCTCACCCTTTCCCCATGGGGGGACTTTTGAAAAATCCCTTCTTAGTGTACATTCTCGTGACATACCCTAACTGTGTACCAAATTTCAACTTTCAATTCCTAACCATTTGGGCTCTGTGCTTATTATTATTATTATTATCAACCCATCTTGATTATATTATAAGATAGATAATAAATATAAAATAATAAATAAATATAAATTCATATATGTATATATAAAAATTTTCAACATTAAAATTCCTAAATATAATTTTTTATTGTATAGAAAAAAATTTAGCTTTAACCTTTGAGCACGAGATCGTTCTTCTATTAGAGCTTCAAGTTCTTCTTTTCTTGCTCGTAATTTCTGTATTTTATCTCGTGCAATAGGTAATTCTTCCAACTATGAATAGAATTAAATACATATTCAATACAATTTTATTCAACATAATTTATAGCTAATAAAAAAAATATATAAAATTAAATAAAAATAAGAAATTTAAATTTTTTTCTTTCAAATACTAATCAGCAATTAAGTTACATAAATTATTTAAAAAAATTTTTAGTTTGAAGAATTTAATGTTTTGCCTTATTGTAATTTAAAAAATTTATTGGTTGTTTCTGTATTTTAATTACTTATCATGTCACAATTAAATAATAAAGAAAGAATTTTTTTTTACTTATTATGAAGCATTTTAAGTTTACAATACTTGCAAAATGTTATCAGAAATAAAGGTAAAAGTTTACATTGATAGTCCCAAAGGCCATGCTTTCGCTAGGTTAGGTTAGGTTAACTACATTTTTAGTAGACATTTCTTTTTTTTTTCTTTTTAGGTATTCCTTTCTTCTGTTTGCTGGGTTCAGGGGCAGTAGCCACATCTAACCTAACCTACCTAATCTAACAGAAGCACAGCCATTGGGACTACCAAGGTAAACTTTTACTGAAATAAATTAAAATAACAACCTGACATAAATGTATTGTTCTAAATAAATTAGAATAGTTACAGAAGAGTTATTAAAATGTGAATTTTATTAATAACAACAACAATAATAATATTAATAATAATTATAATAATATATATACAGTAGTGACCAAAAGTAGAGCTACCCTTGACATATGTTTTAAAAATGAAACCTTTATTTTATTTACCAGCTACTATATAATTAATATTGTGATAGTTGAAAAGAGCACAAAAAAAAGAGTAAAAATACTCAATTGAATCAAACAGATTTTATTTTAAATCTGATTTACAAAAGAAAAAACAAAGTTTTTATATTTTACACTGTGACAAAGTAAAGCTACCAAAGGAAGTATGCAGATTTGTCCAGTATTTTGTGGCATAACCAGAGCTTCTGATCACTGCATCACATCTGTGTTCCATTGAATCAACTAAGTTGTCAACCAGTGATTTGGGAGCTCATACCATGCTTTTTGAATGATAGACCACAATGCATCCAGATTCGAATATGTATTCTGGCATATACGGCTCTCAATTTCATCCCAAAGATTCTCTATTGGGTTTAGGTCTGGCGATTGGTCTGGCCATGTCATAAGATTCACCCTTTTCTGTTAAAACCATTGTTTTACCAAATTTGCTGTGTTTTGGGTCATTGTCCTGTTGGAAAATCCATTTCCTTGGTATTGAATGTTGTGCATGAGGAAGCATTTAATTCTGCAACATATCCTGATAAACGGATTAATCCATTATTCCATTAATTCTATGAACTGGACCATTTCCCTTTGCAGAAAAACATTCCCATACCATTATACACCACTGGTCCACTCATGTTCAGTGGTCGCCTGAATATCATATACCATCACTAGAGAAGACAGTGAATTTAGATTCATCACTCCATAACACCTTGTATCATTTTTGTTCAGTCCAAGTGACATGTTCGTGACAAGTCTAATCTCAACTTTATGTTTTTTGCAGAGATGAGTGGTTTCTTTGCTGGTCATCTCCCATGTAAGCCAAAACTAGTCAAACATCTTCATACAGTGCTTAAGCTTATATCTGGGTTAACCACTTCACATTTAATATATGAAGCAGTCAAACAAGGGTTGGCTGCACTCGTACACCTGATCAAACGATCCAACTCTGATGTTGTTTTTCATGGTCTACCTGACTTTTTGGCAGAAACAATGGTCACATATATTTGAAAACATTCATCATTTTTGCAACAACAGTTTTATGCACATTAAAGATTTTACCAATTTCAGTAAAGGTCTATTTTTCCTTCAAACACATATCTACCATTCTTTGATATCATTTGATAATTGTATTCCTCCAGACAACTTAGTTGATTCAATGGAACATAGATGTGATGCAGTGATCAGAAGCTCTGGTTATGTCACAAAAAACTAATATTTTGTCCTAAAAATACTGGACAAATCTGCATACTTCCTTTGGTAGCTCTACTTTTGTCACAGTGTAAAATATAAAAACTTTGTTTTTTCTTTTGTAAAATCAGATTTAAAATAAAATATGTTTGATTCAATTGAGTATTTTGACTCTTTTTTGTGCTCTTTTCAACTGTCACAATATCGATTATGTAGTAGTAGGTGGTAAACAAAATAGAGGTTGCATTTTTAAAACATATGTCAAGGGTAACTCTACTTTTGGCTACTAATGTATATGACAAATTAATTTGCAAAACTTGAAAACATTTCAGTAAATACAGTTTAGAAAATAGTATGAAATTACTATACCAAAAAAATTTTTAGTTATATTAATAAATCAGAGATAATGTTAGTTTTTGTTGGAGAGAGAGAGAGAGAGAGAGAGAAACAAAAACAGAAGAGCAATTAATAATGAAAATGAAACTATACTAAAAAAAATTAAATCTGAAAATGGTGTGAAATCAAAATATCTGATGTTTACAGAAAATTTATAAAGTTTTATAAAAATAAATTTTATGATAAAATTTAAACTTACTTCTTTTTTCATTTCTAAATTTTCTTTTCTTAAACTGCGTATTTCTGTTTGTTTCATTTCCATAACAGTTTTTAAACTCTCAACTTCTTTTTCTAAATCATTCTTTTTTGAAACTAACCACTGAAATTAGAAAACAAGACTTATTTTTAAATTAATTGTATATTTTATAAATTTAACTATTTTATGCAAAATTAGTTATTTAAAATAAATTTTTAAATACTAACTAATTTTTGTTAATAGTTAAATAATAATTTAACTAATCAAAAATAAAATTTTTGCAATCAATCAAAAATAACTGATTTCTAGAAAGAAACTATTTTGGATTTTTTCATTCAATTAAGTATATTAAAATTTATTATCATTTTAATATGTAACATTTTAATTTAATTTTCAGTATAGTAAATTTTTTTTAAAAAGATATTTTTTTTTTATTGTAAAACTAATAAATGGCTCAAATTGCTTCAAAGATTATTACAACTATTCGTATTGGATAAAACTTGAACTTTATATCTTCAAATAAAATAATTTCCCAAAACAAACTGATTACCATGAATATTTTCAAATGTATGAAAAGGAAATTATGGAAAAAAGTTTTGATAAATTGTGTTCTACATATTTTCTTTAAATAATAGAAAAACTAATTCATTAATTAACATAACTGAAATTATTGAATAAAATATTTATGATGTTGAAACTAATAAATCATTTTTCAAACATTCTTTATGAATGTATATGAAACGTCATAGCAAAAATATGAATTCTTCCCATTTCAGTGACTTTATAAACAAGAACATAGTACTTTAAAGCCAAAACTAGTTTCATGTATTTTAGGCATATTTCAAAGTTCTATAGTATTTTTCTTTCAATTTATAAAAATCTTCGTTAACGTAGAAGAAAAAATAAACATTTGAGAACTCTGTTTTGCTGTCTCAGAAGTTGAATAATCATTAGATTATTATGAATAATTATATTTTATTGCTAACATCCCAAAGCCCGATATTTTAATAATAAGCCAAATGATTGTCAGATTAAATTCTTTTCTTTCAGAATATTCCAAATTCTAAATTATTCTAGGATATTCTGGAAGAAAAGAATATAATCCAGCAATTATTTAAAGAATTTAATTTAATTATTAAATTTATTAAGAGATGGTACCTAACACCTTCCTCTAGTACCAAATTACTTAGGGTTTAATTATTAATAATAGCAATAAAGTAGTACAATTTAATCTGACAAATTTCACTTATATTTAATTGCTAATGCTATTTTTCTTTATTTCTGTTATCTTAAGTTTTGAGAACTAATTCTGTTAAATCTCAAGACTTCCCAGAGAGACATCAAATTGCATAAATCAAGTCAATGATAAATGAAAATAGTATTCCACAAAATATAAAAATTATGATTACTGGTTTTAATTTGTAAACTATTCATGAATTCACTCATTTCAGTGTGATACTGCAAAGTTTACAAAATTTATAAAATTTTATATTAAATTAACATACCATCACTAATACATATTTTGTATGTACTGTACTAATGAGAGTACATACAAAAAGATATAAAGTTAACAAGATATGTTTTAATTGATATGATCAGCTACAGGTGTTTACAGATTTTGCTATAGTTGAATTATAGGTTGTTAGAACATTAATTAAAAATTCTCTTTATTAAGGTTAATTAAAAATAATTTTTTAAGCCTCATATTTTTGTAAATTTAGTAATTATAATTTCTATAACTGATATTTATAGAAAGACTAATACTGGAAAGTAGTTATCAATAGCTTCAATAAAGATTTTTTTTTTAAGGTACTATGGTGGAAAAAAATTTTTTCCTCTTTTAATTCAATGAATTTTTAAACCTTAATTTATCAAATATAGCTTGCAATAGTTTATAAAGATTTGAATTATGAAATTTGCATTTATTTTGAATTCAATAAATATATAATTAACATTCCATAAAACTAATTGCTTGAGACAAATGTAAACTAGATATTCTGTTAATTTGTAATAAAAAGTTTGGCTAGATGACAATGAATTTATTTCCTTTTGTTTTGAAATTCAATTTTAATTTTTTTTATTTTACTCTTATTTTTTTCATAGATTTAAATATACAACTGTGAATAAATATATACTTAAAATAATGTTCATTGCATATCAACACTACTTAACTGATTGTTGTGACAAACAGAACAATTGATTAGTAATGTAAACTTAAATATATATTTTTTTTAAGATGATGGATGCATGATAACAAATCCCACATTACATGGAAGTGCCAAAAATGATTGCAGTCATTAGGATAATTATGAAATATGCTACTTTTTGAGACAAAAATATTGAAAAATTAAACCTGTTTAAATAACATAAGAAAGTCAAAAATTTATTAAAAGATAATCATTTTCAAAACTTTAGTTCATTCTTCAGATCACTGTTATAAAAAAGATAAAATCAAGAACTAATTTTAAACAAAATTATGCTATAAAGTGTAATGCATTTGAATACTGTTATTCATCTTCAAAACTATTAAATCTTAGCAAAACATTCTTTAGAACAATGCTAAACAATTTGCCAAATTATCAGGCTATAATAAGACTAATTTAATAATTAGATATAAAGTAATTTGACTAAAGGTAGATGGTTAGGCTACTATTTCATGATGATAATATTTAATTATATAAATTCATTATAATTATTAAAATTATCATGAGATGGTGGCCTAACCACCTATCTCTAGTCAAATTACTTTGTATCTAATTATTAAATTAGTCTTTTGGCATTACTTAAAAATTGTGTTGTGGATGGATTCTTTAAAATATCCTTAAATTCAAAAAGATCAATTATCTATATGTTTCTAAGTAATTACTTTTTTAACTGCAAAATACACTATAATTTATTTAACAATGTAGCCGAGAGCAAATGACAGGATCCGAAGAATCACTCGGCGTTGGTAAAATTAAAAGTTTATTATTTGCAGTTAATAATGCTAATTTCCGAAGAAACAATTATAAAACTTATAAACTAGGAAATTACAAAGATCCTTGGGACCAACCGTAACAATACAACTGGTTGATTCCCACATGCTGCCAATGAAAGAATTTATTCTAATTTACATCTATCTTAACGATAACTTAACTAAATTTACAAAATAAAGGGCCCTAGATCAAGATGGGGTTGATAAGAATTAGAAGTATTGATTTTTGATAGAAAAAGAAAAGGCTCAAAAGGGGAGTGACTGGCAAAAAAATGCACCTCAAGTCCATTGTTCCAGAGGGGTCTTCTTTCTGTACTCACTGACATCTAGGTCTTCTTCCAAGCTCTTCTCTAAGAATGACGATTTTCCCCCTTTCCTCTCATGCCAGTCCCCTTTGACCAATCCAGTGTCACCCCCTTTTCTCTAGTGACCCATCGAAGAATTGGGTCAACCAATTACGGTGAGGTCAACAGAACAAAAGCTTGAAGTGAAGTTTATGAAAGAAAAATGGTGGAAGAAAGAGAAACAAAAAAAAAAAAAGAAACAAGGCTCAACCAAGCCACATCAATAAAAATAACAACATTAATTTTATTCCTTCTTATCATCTACAGTAAACCTGAAGAGCTATCCTTTCTATTAGTATTTTCTTTTTAATTCATTTCTATATTAATAATATTTGAAATTTGGTGATTAATAGATTAGATACATAAACAATACTGATGAATTTATTAGATTAAATTATATTTTCAAAATTCATAAATAATTCAAAAAAAGGTAAATCATTTTAAAAAAATTAATTTTAATCTTCAATTAATTACATTAAGTGGAATAAGAAATAATTATGGAAATATAATAGAATACATATTAAAATTATCATAAACTCCATTTTTTTAAATGCAATAACATATTAAAAAATATGTTATATGTTTTAAATTTTAAATTAAGGAAACATCACATAATATTAAATAAAATATCATAATTTAAATTCCTATAAATAAATAAGAAATTATACCTCAATGCAAAATTTCCAGCAAAGAAATTCAATATTCTAATATTTCTTTGCTGGAAATTTTGCAATGAGGTGTAATTTCTTATTTACATGTACAGTTCCAGTTTTCAGTACAATTGGTATTGTTCCTATAAATAAATTTGGCATTTTATTTTCTGTTATAACTTTTTTAACTTAACTCATTTTTTCTATTTGAAAAGTATTTTGTTATTTAAGTAAATTAACATATTTATCTAAAATCTTTTAAACAATACATATCAATAAATATACAAATTTAATTTCTGAACTGTTACGATTTTTAAAAAAAATGTTTTAAAAAGATGAATACTAAACTTCTACAAATAATTAAAAACATCATTAAAGAAAAAACTTATAGCTTTTTTTAAACTAATATCAACAAGATTTTATATAATTCCTGAAAATATAATCTGAGTCAGTATATAAAGAAAAATATATCTTTTTATCACCAATGGAACTCACTGTTTCATAGATATAAAAATGTAAAAGGTAGCATAAATATGAAGTTTATAGCATGTTTCAGTAAAAATTTAATTTATTTAGATTACTTAGAAAAATGCAATATTTAGATCTTTTTACTTTTAAGAATACAATGCTCAATTTGTATGTATTAAAATTCTTAATAATATATAAATTATGTTAAATTTGGAATAATATAAATTAATAGCTGTTAAACTTTAAATGAAAATTCAAATAAACTAAGAAAATATTTAGTTAAAAAACTGACCTGCATCTTTGCATCAGAACTCTTTTTCAACGTTTCTTCAATTTCTTTAGCTTGTTCTTGGAGTTCTTCATACTGCTGCTGGAGATTATTTAACTGACTAATCAATTGACTTTGTGTTTTTTCATGCTGAGCTATTGAGTTTGATAACTGTTTATTATGCATCTGTTCTAATTCTACAGAAAAGAAATATTTTCATTAATTAATTAAGAATTTATAAATTATTTTAAAAATTAACTTCCAGAAACATTATGTAAAAAGTAAAAATATCATTTTAAAATTTGTGGTAATATATATATTTATACACACATACACACAGATAATATATATATTATATTTATATAGAAATTTATTACTGTGACAAAACTGAATATTTGCAAAATATTAAAATTATACTTCAAACATTCTATTATTATTGCTATTACTATAAGCCATGCAAATATAATTTAATATACTGACTCCTTAATTATTCTCAACAAAAATATCAACATTATTGGTTGATTAATAAATTTTATAGTCAAATAAACATTAAAATTACAAAAAGTAATTCCAGCTTTACTTTGAATGGTGTATTAATTAGTAATGAGTCAGTCAGTAATTATTTTCTTAAACAAATTAACATACAGTATATATAATATAATATTTAAAATCCAGAAAATATAAAAATTATCAAAAAAATAATTTGATGCCAAATATCAGGATGAGTCAAAAACTAATTACAGTAGATGATCAGTTAACGAACAAATCAGATAACAAATGCTTACGCGAAAGATTTTTATGATCGGACAACGAACAGTTCACTGAACAAACATAAAAAGAAGCGATGGAAATAGCAATTACTTTCCCTTGTCTTCAGGTAACAATTGGAAACTTTTCGGAGCGAGGGAGACATCGACATCGACACTCAACCCAATATATACTGATTGGACAGTATTCCTCGAACTTTGAAATACTCCCTTGTAATTCCAGCCTTTTATTTTTTGACAGAAATTCTTTTATAGTATTTGTGAGACTGTCAGGCGGCACTTGTTAAGTTTTGCGTCAGTTTTTATTTTCAAAAGGTGAAGTATAATAGCAAAGTTATAGATTGGGCAGAAGATGTCTGATGTTGCTGGGCAGTATGGTTTGAACAAATCTACTGTAGGGCACAGTTCAATCTTATCTAAGAAAGATACAGTATAATCAANTATTAAATAAAATATCATAATTTAAATTCCTATAAATAAATAAGAAATTATACCTCAATGCAAAATTTCCAGCAAAGAAATTCAATATTCTAATATTTCTTTGCTGGAAATTTTGCAATGAGGTGTAATTTCTTATTTACATGTACAGTTCCAGTTTTCAGTACAATTGGTATTGTTCCTATAAATAAATTTGGCATTTTATTTTCTGTTATAACTTTTTTAACTTAACTCATTTTTTCTATTTGAAAAGTATTTTGTTATTTAAGTAAATTAACATATTTATCTAAAATCTTTTAAACAATACATATCAATAAATATACAAATTTAATTTCTGAACTGTTACGATTTTTAAAAAAAATGTTTTAAAAAGATGAATACTAAACTTCTACAAATAATTAAAAACATCATTAAAGAAAAAACTTATAGCTTTTTTTAAACTAATATCAACAAGATTTTATATAATTCCTGAAAATATAATCTGAGTCAGTATATAAAGAAAAATATATCTTTTTATCACCAATGGAACTCACTGTTTCATAGATATAAAAATGTAAAAGGTAGCATAAATATGAAGTTTATAGCATGTTTCAGTAAAAATTTAATTTATTTAGATTACTTAGAAAAATGCAATATTTAGATCTTTTTACTTTTAAGAATACAATGCTCAATTTGTATGTATTAAAATTCTTAATAATATATAAATTATGTTAAATTTGGAATAATATAAATTAATAGCTGTTAAACTTTAAATGAAAATTCAAATAAACTAAGAAAATATTTAGTTAAAAAACTGACCTGCATCTTTGCATCAGAACTCTTTTTCAACGTTTCTTCAATTTCTTTAGCTTGTTCTTGGAGTTCTTCATACTGCTGCTGGAGATTATTTAACTGACTAATCAATTGACTTTGTGTTTTTTCATGCTGAGCTATTGAGTTTGATAACTGTTTATTATGCATCTGTTCTAATTCTACAGAAAAGAAATATTTTCATTAATTAATTAAGAATTTATAAATTATTTTAAAAATTAACTTCCAGAAACATTATGTAAAAAGTAAAAATATCATTTTAAAATTTGTGGTAATATATATATTTATACACACATACACACAGATAATATATATATTATATTTATATAGAAATTTATTACTGTGACAAAACTGAATATTTGCAAAATATTAAAATTATACTTCAAACATTCTATTATTATTGCTATTACTATAAGCCATGCAAATATAATTTAATATACTGACTCCTTAATTATTCTCAACAAAAATATCAACATTATTGGTTGATTAATAAATTTTATAGTCAAATAAACATTAAAATTACAAAAAGTAATTCCAGCTTTACTTTGAATGGTGTATTAATTAGTAATGAGTCAGTCAGTAATTATTTTCTTAAACAAATTAACATACAGTATATATAATATAATATTTAAAATCCAGAAAATATAAAAATTATCAAAAAAATAATTTGATGCCAAATATCAGGATGAGTCAAAAACTAATTACAGTAGATGATCAGTTAACGAACAAATCAGATAACAAATGCTTACGCGAAAGATTTTTATGATCGGACAACGAACAGTTCACTGAACAAACATAAAAAGAAGCGATGGAAATAGCAATTACTTTCCCTTGTCTTCAGGTAACAATTGGAAACTTTTCGGAGCGAGGGAGACATCGACATCGACACTCAACCCAATATATACTGATTGGACAGTATTCCTCGAACTTTGAAATACTCCCTTGTAATTCCAGCCTTTTATTTTTTGACAGAAATTCTTTTATAGTATTTGTGAGACTGTCAGGCGGCACTTGTTAAGTTTTGCGTCAGTTTTTATTTTCAAAAGGTGAAGTATAATAGCAAAGTTATAGATTGGGCAGAAGATGTCTGATGTTGCTGGGCAGTATGGTTTGAACAAATCTACTGTAGGGCACAGTTCAATCTTATCTAAGAAAGATACAGTATAATCAAAAAGACTTAAGCAACTAAAGGAGTAACAAAAATAAAGAACATTGAAGAGCTCATAATGAAACCCGAAATGGACCTGACGACAGAAGAACGCCAAGAACTCTTGAATGAAGAACGCCAAGAAACCTTCAATGAAGAACACCTAGAAACTCGGTGAGATATGTTTTATTATGAAAAAGAGGATTAATGCCGATATCTGCTATTGATTAAAGATCTTTTGAAGAAGTGGGGGATGTCAGATCGACGATCTTAGAATGGCATACAAACCAGGTTGAGGTTAATAGGCTTGGGGATCTCTACAATTACAATGCTATTAATTACTTCTGAAAATCCTGAAGAAGAGAGAAAAGCAATTGACATTGGACAAATTCTTTAACCCCTACAAACCAAAAAAAAAAACATAACTAATAAATATGCAAGACTGTTTATATATATATACATATACATATATGCAAAATATACATACATATATGCATATATACATACATACATACATAGTCTTGCATATTTAGTAGTTATGTTTTTTTTTTTTTTTTTNNNAAGCAATTGACATTAGACAGATTCTTTACCCCCCAAGAATAGAAAAAACATGACTAATAAAAATGCAAGACTGAATATATATTTTTTTTTATTATTACATATAAATAAACGTAGTAAGAAAGAATATATTTTTTATTTTTTGGAGTCTCCAGAATGAATTAATCAAATTCTCATAGAAACCTATGGTAAATCAATAATCGGTTAACGAACAGTCTTGGAACGAATTATGTTCGTTAACCGATCACCCACTGTACCTTTTCAATATAATCACCACTTCGTTCAGTATATGTGCACCTATATATCACTACTGCTTGGATTTCATGAGAAAAAAAAATCTTTTGGTTGGCTGCACAGCCATTCATCCACCGTTTTCATATTATCATTTGTACTCAATTTTTTGCCACCAAGAATCTCTTTGAGTGTTACAAAGATATGATAATCATTCAGTGCAAAGTCAGACAAATAGGAGGAATATGGAGGACAACTCCATCTGAAATTTTTTTGGATTATCATACAAGATGTGTGGGGCTATGCATTTTCATGCTATAACAGTTTACCAAAACTGCACAAACAACAATATTTGGACCTTATTGCAGATTTCAAATGATTCTGAAGCAAATCATAATATGTTGTACTGTTTATTGATAATGTCTGGGCATAAAATGTTCCAAAATTGAACCCTTATTGTCCTAGAAAAGTGTGAGCATTACCTTGCTGGCCAAAGGATTCATGTAATTTTTTTGGTTTTGATGATATGGAATGTTACCACTCCTTGCTTGCTTAGTCTCTGGCTGAGAGTAATAAATCTATAATTCATCACCAGCAATTCCACTATTCAAAAACCAGATAACTGCATGTTGTTCCTTTGGAGCATATCTGTAAGAGTGCTGCCATTTTTGTTAAGGTCTGTTGATATTACAGTCCATGTGATGCATAGCATACTTGTGCACACTAAATCTGTCTGCTTGATGACACGTCTCAAAATTATATGCACCCCCATATTTAAAATTTTTTATGACCATATTAAGGCTACTTTTTCAATCACCCATGTACAATCTGAATTTATCTGCTAGAATATAAGTGCTACTAAAATATTCATTATAAAAAAAGTATATGGTACATATATGTAGATTTGCAATTAATACATTCCATAAATATTATATGATAATCAACTTTCATGAATAAAATAAAATAATTCAAAAATTATAGTGAGTCACAAATTATTATTAATTAAAAAATATAAATATATTTAATTGTTTCTGAATAATTAAAAGGCAACTACTAAAACTTTCAACTTAAAAAGGAATTAAAACATTTATTTTCTTTTTTTTTAACCTTGCCATATAACAAGGAGAAATTTCCAATAGTAGTTTTTTTATTAAAGAAAAAGTTAAAAGATAAAATCACTAAATTTTTTATTTGCTTGTTGTTGTACGCATTCAAAAAACTTTTATTTAATGACCATTACAAATTCATCCAAGTCCCAATGGCAGATAAAATAATGAGAAAGTGGCTCAATATATCTAGCCAGACCATCTAAAACACTTCTTGGGAATCCCATCAAATTCAAGTTTAGATCCCTAAAATGTCAATAGTTAGCAAATAACTATCATTTAAGCCAACCGATTGTCTAAAAAAATTCTGTTTAGCAACTGATAAAATATATTTATTTATAATAATATTTATTGTTTTATTATTACAATTAACCAAATGTTTAAAATATCACTAAGTTAATTTTTCTCTTTTATAATACCTAAATATTCTGAAAGTGGCTTTAAATCACTATCTCAATCATAATTATTCTCATCATTCTGATTTCTTAAATTCAATAGCAATTTATTTGAATATTTTAGTACAAAATTAATTTTATTTATTGTAATTGTTAATTACTGAATAAAAATAAATAAAACAAGAATTTATTGCATTTAAAATCTCAACTTGTAATATTAAAAAATTAATTAATCACCACATAAGGGAAAGATCAATTCTAATTTAGGTTACATTTTGTACAAATCAACAAAGGATTTCATTCTCAAATTAAAACATCAAACTTTATATTTTAATACAGGTTCATGAACATTTTTCTTTATCTGTTTTTTTTTTTTTTCTAGTATTTCATATGATCTGGAATATTTGAATCCTTACAGTAGTATTTAAACATTTGTCTATCTGAAGTTATATAATCCTTTTTGCCTGAAGATAAGTAATGTTTCATGAAATATGTAAAATAAAATAATTAGAAAAAATAGAAAATTTGAAAGAGAACAATATTCAGAAAAATGAAAACATTATAATTAAAAAATTTAATTAATTACAACTAATTTAAATAAATTATTAATTATAAGAAGCTTATCTTTAATGAATTATTTTTTATTTTGAAAATTGAAGATAGAAATTATGTTTAGATTGTAACTTTGAAACACTGTTATAACCACTAAAAAGTGGTAATATACAAATCAAATCATAAATGAAAAAATTTATTGGGGCAATTAAAATAGTAAAAGACATGAGTAAAAAAGATGTGTTTTGTCTATTTATTTTAATATTTCTCCAAATTCTACTTTAGTATAAAACTTTTGATTACAACTAAATATATAAACTTTATCAAATAATTTCCTAGATGTATGTTGCATTTGTATTCAAGTAAATGCATAGCCATTTCTATGTAGGATAGTATGCAAGATTTCAGTTTGATAATTAATTGTAAAAAATTATAAGCAAGCATTCAAACAAAAAAATTACTGTAAGTTAAAAAATCTTTTAAAGTGAAAATTAAAAAAAAAATGAAATAATCACAGAATCTAAATTTTGTTATTTGTATATTGTCTGCATCTCAATTTTTCTTCTTGGAGAAATCCAAATTCTAGGTATTAAGAAGGAATTAAGAAAAGCAATTTAAAAAAAAATCATCAAATTTTACTATTAAGAGCAATATAAGTATTTACATATTTTTATATACAATTTTATTTCATTTTTTCAACAGTAAAATAAACCTTTCAATGTATAAGTCTGTTAACATTTAATTAGGTTAAATTTCTATAAATATATGATCAATATTGTTTGTATATTTTGTGTAGGCATGATTTTAAATTCCATACTATATTTAAAATAATATACTACCTTGTTTTTGTTTAACATATTCATCTTTCAACTCTTCCATTATTTTAAGATATTGTTCTTCATTTTTGTAGATTGTTTTCTCATAGAGTTCTTTCATTTCAAGTACCTATATTTTTATTAAAAATAATTTATTATAACAAATAAATATGAAAAAAGTATGTTAATATAAGCTTAACATATATACTGCTACAGAAAGCATAGTTGATAAAAAAAATTTAATACATAGAAAAGTGATTTTAAAAGCATTATAGATTTTAGATAATTTTGGAGAAAATTCAGTATTAAAGATGTTATTTTCTGAACTGTTAAATGTTGGTATAATATACTTTCTACAATTCTACAGAAGTGTTGGAATAATTTATGACCTAATAAAATTTCTATAGAAAATGAGGTACAAGAGATTCTACCTTTAATACAAAATGTAATTATGCAAATTTCTGATTATGAAAATGCCAAAGTAAATGTGATAAAGAACTGGCTGGAAACTGATCAATACAACAGTGCATATGAGCTTCTTAATAATGATTAATTAATTAATGACTTTCTAGAAGAGAATAAAACTGTCGATTATGAAGAATATGAAATCATGTATTGTCAACAATAGTAACTTATCAAAAAAATTAAAGATGCTATCTAAATGCATTGACTGTGTAGTGATCTGTCACTCAGATTAATTTTTTTTTTTGTATGTGTTTCGCATGCTCCGTTTGTGCCTGGGCACCACTTTTGTAAAAAGCGGGACTCTGATTGGTTTGTGACTCGTGACGTCAAAAACGAAGAAGTATAAAGGGAGGTGTTTCACTCTTTGTCTTGCTCTTCGGACTGTGTTGGACATGTGGTATTAGTGAAGTGCGCGAGTGGATAAGCACGTGGTGAAAGAGAAAGGAGAATGGACAGTGTGGAGAGAGAACAGTAATCCAATTCCATCCGGACCTAGAATAAGGACTTCGAAGTGAACCACATATACATTGACCAAAATTTTACAGAAGAACTCATGTAAGAAATTTTGTTTGTGTTTTTTTTCTCTGTTTTTGTACAATCCCTAAAAAAATTAGGTAGTAGATTCGGGAGCCGATATAGACGTGTGGTAACAGTACTGAATATATATTGTCGGTGTATCAATATGCATGTAAGACTCCCGAAGTTTTGAATTATATATTTTAATAAGAACATTAAATAATAAGTGTAAAGTCCTTAAATTGGTTGGTGTTCATTGCCTATTACCCTCCACTGTAAACTGTATACTAAGGTATAGCAGTAAACTTAACAACTGATTTGAAAATCAAGCTGAAGCAAATCCCACACAGAAAGCTGAGTGGGATTTGCTTCAGTTTGTTTCAAGCATGCCCACCAATGGAATTTTAATGAATTCACTTAGGGCTGGTTTAGCTGAAATGCCTTCACCTGACAGTTTTCAGAATATCTGTCTATTACACAATAGTTTGTTTGTGCCTTCATTTTTGATCACATAGTTAATTTTAGAATTATTTTGTTAATATTTTATGTAAATATAAGTTTATCTGTTTTTTGATCATTGTTGCTATTCCAAGCTTTACTTTTTTAAATATCAATTTTATTTATTGAACTTAATATGTTTTGAATTTATACATTAAAAGCCTAACTACATGCATTTAGTCCTAATGGTGTTTCATTTAATTTAAAATGACTAAAAAGTGTTGCATAACTAAATGCAAAGGAAATCATGAATCTATATCAACTGGTTATTTAAATGCTTTTAAATTTCTTAAAGATCCCATATTATGTCAATGTTGGATATGAAATACTTCAGGGGATAAATGGACTCCAACTGATCATAGCATGGTTTATGAATGACATTTTTTACCTTCTGACATCCTGAGGAAGGATGTGATAAGAACTTCAATAGAAGTATATAGAACTTAAAAGGAAGATTCCAAAGTCTTAAAAACTTTCATTACTTAATTTAAATCACTTGACGTATACACATTTTATGCTAAAGTTTTCAGCTGGATTGATTATGCCAGCAAATGCTTTACAAAAATTATGTATGCCTTAATAATTAAAAGTATTACCTTCTTTTCATGATGACATTTTGCTTCTTCTAATTCACAATTATGTTTCATTTTTACTGAAATGAAATAATATTTTTAAATACTTTAATAATTAAATTGCATTAAATATACTATATAATGAAAATCCAATTGCTTTATTAAAACTTTCAGTTATTATTTGATTATATATACAATATCCATCATAACCAATTGCTTTATTGTATTAACCATCTCTAATAGATTAAGGAAATTGCAATCTCCTTAGAATTGGTTAGTGTTGAAATATTAAACTGTTGCTAATTAATAATCCAATTAAAATTAATGATATCTTTAAGAATAAACATGATAAAATTGCACAAACATTAACACAATAGCTATATGATAATATAGTTTCTATTATGGATTTTTGGTTCTGAGTATTTGAACTTGCCAAGTCTTTTCACTTTTACTCAGACTCAATACTCTGTCTACAACTTGATGAGTCTAAGTTCAAAGTTTATATATTTTAACAGCTTTAAATAGAAATCATTGATCATCCAAGATTATTAGTAAGATATAAGAAAACTAAACATAATTAGTAAGAATAATTTGCTAGTTGTATTTTATTTTTACTAATTTAGCTTAGTTTTGTCATCATATCTACAATATTCACATTAATGCTTGACAACAGAATTTTTAAGTCAAATCTTTATAATTTAGATAATTTTCAAGTTTCTGAACTACAAAGTCCAGAAACTTGAAAATCACCCAAATTACAAAAAAAAATCACCTGCTTATTCAGAAAATAATCAAATAATTAAACAATTTTTCATAAATCTGACAGCATTGAAAAATATGAGTAAGAAGGTGTAAATATATGTTAAGTTTGTTTATTTATTTTATGAAGATTTAAAAGAAAAAGTTAGTAGATAGAATTGAAAAATTCCAAAGAAATCAAAAGAAATTCTTCAATGTAGCTACAAAGTTGAAAATTCAATCCATGAAATATTTGACAAAATTTGAAATAGAAATGGAAATTTTTCAACGATCATAAAACATTTATCAACTAAACATTAAATTATTTTGCAGAATGATGACAAAAGCAAGATGACAATGCTATTTCCAAAAAATTAGAACTACTGATAAGTAATGGGGAAAAAAAACCTTTAAAGTAAATTGTTTCTGAATTGACTGCGGCTGATGATAATTTTATTCAAGAAAGTATAATGAAGTTAGGTTATAAGCTTCCTAAACTTCTATGAAAAATTATTGTTGCACACAATAATAATTTGGTAATTATAGTTAAAGTGGTGCTCACAAATAAAATATGAATTTTAATTAAACTATAGTTATCTTTATTTTCTAAATACAGTATGCAGTGCTGTAACTAGCCATTCCTGTGCCAGAATTTGCATATAGGCCCCTTAATTAATTAGGTTTGGGAAAATAATAAAACAAATACATGCATTTTGGATTCCCTTTCCAAGTGGGCTCTGTGCAGGTGCACCTGTTGCACCTGCCTAGTTACGGCACTGACAGTATGTGAAATTTGATATATAGTTTTAAATAGAAAATAACTAAACTAGACAAAAAATATTTTATTTAAAGTTACTGAAAAATATGTAATTTTTTCGTTGTTTGAACATATTGTAGATGCTGTAGTTCACTCAATGAAAATCAATATATTTTAACATGGACTTGGATTCAGAAATCTATATTTGACTCGGACTCGTTAAGTTTCAAAATTCTGAATTTTGTTAAAATCTAGTTTCTACTATAGTAACAAAACATATAGTAACATCATAATCCAAACTGAACTAATATCACATTTTTGTCACATATGACAAGATAATAAATTGTTGTTTAAATTTTATATAAAGAACATAAATTTTTGAAACATCTAGCAATACAAAAATCCTAATGCTTGATCTGACTTCAATGTCTTATTTTTATAAGATATGTGAAAATTTTAAAATGCAATCTCTAATACTTATGATGCACCCTAACTAGTATTATTATATGAATATTTTTACTTTAGACCATATTTACTATGATAACTCTACATTACATAACTATGAGCTAATATAATCTAAAGTATGATTAAATATACTGTATTTGCAAAAATACAGTATATTTAAAGTTATAAAACCATTTATACAATACTTTGCCTGTTATTATAAAAATACTATCCTTAACATCTCCCAGTTGATTATGTAATATATAGTTAAAAATACTTCCAAATACTTATTTGCCACATACTTTGAACTTTTTGATTTATTTTAATGGCAAGACCATTTAATGATACTATTATTATTGTATTTCAAGTACTGTTTTCTGTTATTATCCTTGAAGAAAGTATATTTATTTGATGATCAAAATGCTTAATTAAAAAGAAAAAATGTCTTTGCATGATACTTTTGTATAAATAATACAAATATATTTTACTTACAATCACATAATTCATCATTATGCATTCTGGAAACTTTTTCAGTTAAATTAGATATTTCTTGGGCATGGTTTACCTTCAAATCTTCTATCTGATCTTGATAATTTTCTATAAGATAACAAAATAATAATAATAAATTTCAACAAAGAATTGATAAATTATTTCTATATAAAAAAATACTCTGTTTATAAATAATTTAAAATACATACTTAATTGTAACAAATTCTTATTTAAATCTTGCTTTGTTTTTTTCATTTCCAAGACAACTTTAGGTCCAGAAAAAGCATTAAGCTATAAAAAAATCTTTGTTAGTATTGATTAATAATATACCTTGTATAATGTAATGAATCATAACTAAAAGAAATTATAAATCCATTAATGAAGTCAAAATAATATACATAGCAATTAATTTTTCATTGCAATTTCCACTTAATTTTTAATTTGACAATGCAAGTTTTGCATTTTTTTAAAGAAATGACTTTTTATATTAATTTTGAAAAACATTTTTTATGAACTGTAAAAGATAAATTATTTATGATGCATGTAATGATGTATTTACTAAGTAATACTTTTAACAGAATATGTTATACAATATTTTAAAAGTAATCTCATATATAAATGTTTACTTACAATTTTTTGTTTGGATTTTTTTCACAATAATTAGAATTCAAATGTCTTATATATAATAAAAACAAAATTTTAAAATAATATTATATAGAACAATTATATTATCTATAGATCCTTTAAGATTAGGCCAATATAATTTTCTTCAAATTCAAACAATTTTTAATCAGCACTGTTAAATACATCAATTTCAATTCATTCAATCTTCAGAACATATAGTTTATAAAATGTTTCATTTTTATATTAAATTATGTTTTATATTTAAACATTTTCACATATTTAAACAGTTCATCTACAAAATAAATCTTAAAATAGGTAAATTCTCATAAATTTTAAGAGTTGCTATATTAACTAACTTTAAAAAATAAAATTATTAGTAATATCAAAAATTATATCAATAATGAAAACTTTCACAAAAACATTAATAATCTGAAAATTAACAAAATTATGCTACTAACAGAAAATGAAAATAAACAGACAGATAATATTTAAATGTAATATAAATTTGAAACAGATTTCAAATTTTCAAATATTTTTAAGTAACGTTCTATGTACAGGATGATATTGCTTAAGGCTGAAAATATTTCCTATCTAAAATAAATTTTTGTCTACTTGAACTTCTACATTTTAAAATATGATGCAAACAAATAATTACTAAATTTAATTAAAACATCTATTAAGTTAAGTAAATATTTCAAAGATAAATTTTGTAAGAGCTTTATATAAATTTAAGAAAATGTAACTGCTATGTTTTTTCCTTCTAGTCAGAAACATTACCATACATCTTATAAAAAGACACTGAAAACACCTTATGATATTTTCAGTGTCTTTGTACTTGAAACTATTATTGATTACCATAAGTCACTTGCATGAACTCTTAAGGAATATTCATCTGTTTCAATTTATACAGTACTAGCAGACCCCGCCACGCATTGTTGTGGCTCAAAATGTATCTTTTATAAATGTATAACACTTCCCCTGTGGGGGGGAAATTTTACGAAAAATTTCTTCTTAGTGTACATTCTCTTGACGTACCCTATTAAAACGCAATCAAAAACGCAAAAACCCGTATCTANAGGCCCAGAGAGGTGGCCTTCTCATGTCCAAATTTGGAAAAATGGGTCGCTTCTGTGAAATAAGTGGCTTTCCTTGTGTTCCCTCTAGGAAAAAGAATGACGAACATTTATACAACATAATAGTAAAATATGATACGTTAATGAAGTAATGTGGAATTTATGGCTATCCAACTTGTCAATAATAATTTTAAAATTATTCAGAGATTTTTATTTTAATACAAATGAATTTATATTGATGTATTTCTTGCAGAAGCTTGATATAATCATATCAAACAATCATGTATTTATCAGCTAGAAATTATTATTATATTATTATTTTCTAAATAGATCTAATGCAGAACATAAATCTCTTTCTTTCTAATACAAATTATATTCTAAAATTTAGTTTGGAATATATAAATTAATTGCCAACTGGCTGAATTTTATATCTATTTTCTTTTCCAATTTAATAGGAAATGCTTTCTCTTTAAGCCGATTATTACTAAATATTTATATTTCATTACATTAAAATAATATAAATAATTAATCACTTAATATTGATTAAAATAAGTTTCTAAATTATATTACTATTTATTATAAATACTTATAAAATATTTGTATTATGTAAATATTTTAATAGCTAATGGAAATATTTCATTATCTCAGTTGTTCATACTATTTTTTCATTGAAACGAACTATTGAAAAGTAAAAAAAATTTATTACGATAACAGATTCATAAATATTTATAGAATTTTTTATACTGTATTTTATGTTAATACACGCATTTATTTAATTTTAAATACTTTGAATGAATGCACTTACACAATTACGATTTTTTTCAGAGTAGCCTATTAAATTACCAATGTAATTTTTAAAAAAGAGAAAAAGAGAGAGAGAGAGAGAGAGAAAAAAGAGAGAGAATTTAAAACTGACTTCAAATACGGGCATGGATAAAATTTAAAAAGTTATCTTACCAGGACTTGTACGAATATCTGTATTAATGCTTATAGATACCACGCTGTTACTAGTTCTCTGCCGAGAAATAGCGCGATTTAGAAGAGGTGTAGAAGTCACATGTTCACCTTCAAATAATAATTTGTAAGAAGGCAGAACAGTGGCATTAATTTTGGACGGCCTCGGCCGATCTCTTCCCGTTAGAGGCCTTGCATCGTTCCAATATTTAGCTGGTGCTTCTGTTATTTCTAAACTATCCTCTTCGAATCTAGTCTCGGAAGATAACAAACTGGTATGATACTGATAACTTTTTTGAACGATTCTCCGTTCCTTGCGCCTATGGCTAACATCGTTGACTCTATTGTCACTCTGAGCATTCTTTCTCCTAACTTTAAAAAGTTGAAGGAAAAAATTTAAGCATTTTTTTTCGGTTGTGATGTCCAGAGAACGAATACCCGATTTTATCCGAAAAGATCCATCCAAGTGTCTGCTCCACTTCACTTTCATTGCCAATGGTCGACGGCAACTTTCGATCGCTTCACAAATAGAAACAACAAAAGATAACACGATCTAAACTATTAATGCGGGAGGAGGGTCATGTGCATCGACGCCTGCCTGTCTGACTGTCTGGGTTGTCCTACTGAATACGGCGATTGTTGTGCTTCCACCTTTCGCTTTATCCTTTTATTTCTTTATCGCTGTATGATTGGAATCTCACTGAACGATGTTACCTAACGGATCAACCGATTATAATTTTTTTTTTTTTGTTTTTGGAATAAGTTCGGGTGTATCTGAAAGATCTATCTATCGATAATTTAAATCTCAAGCTAAGAGGTTCAGTTATTGGTATGGTTTTTAAACAATAAATTGTTTGCGATAGGAATAGAACATTTCAAATGTGACTTCCTATCTTTAACTACGTTATCTTTAATACGATACGACGGGACACATTATATCACATCGAGCGAAAATTTGTGGTGTAAATTACTTTTAAAAGAAATAATAATATACTCTGTTAAGAACAATTTTAAAAAAAATTTGTTTATAATGATAGAACAGAATTCAACACTAAAGAAAGTACACTTTGCCCGCATCGTAAGCGTAATGGAACGTGGCGCGTTTTTTTTTTGCGTTCGATAATATATAAGTAATTAATGGATCACGTAAATCTCCGGTAAAATTTCAATAGGCAATTAAAGTATTTAAAAGTATTGTAAATATTTTGCTAATCGAAAAAATAGCAGCTCCTTGTTGACTGGCATCTACAACGATACAGCATTTTAGTTAAGGATTATAATTATCTGAACACCTTTGTCTTTTGGACTTTTGTTATCAAAAGAAATTTTGATAAAATAGAAATTTTTCATTTACATTTTGAAAATTTTTAATTTAAAAATTACTTTTAAGAATTTTATATAAATCTTAAAATCATTTACAATAAAAAATTTTGATAATTCAAAACTTTGTTTTAAATTAATATTTAATAATTCAATTTTGAAATAATTTTTCATATATTGAAATCTGAGAGTCTATATTAGTGCTTTATGCAATAATTATTAAAAAATGATAAAACAAATATGTTAATTTAAATTATTATTAGGTGTAGAATAGGTAAAAGATAAAATTTGGTTAGTTAGGATATATTGAAATTAAAATAAACAAAAAAAATTTCAGTAGCTGAAATTTTCACTTTAATAAAATGAAATAAATTATTTAATAGATATACTGTAAAATATACATTTAACTCAATGTTTGCTCAAATTCATTTGATTTTTAGTATAAATTGCTATAATTTTGATTTGGTGTATTAAAAGTAATAGTATGAATATTTGATAACATATAAAACACATCTTAATAAAATTACCTGTAAATTTTTCATTCAAACTTAGAAAATTTAAGATTTTTTGGTAAGTTAATATAGAGAAATAAATAGTTGTATTTGAAATATTCATTTATTGAAACAAAATCTCAAACTACTAATAAATAAAATATACTCTTATAAGCTGAAACTATCACTCTTATAAGATATGCAGATAAATTCTTTAAAGAAAGACTATAAATAAAAAAAATGGAAACAGTAAAACAATTTTTCTCCAAAATAATCAAACTATGTTCTTTACATGCATTTTACATGCATTTTACTCCCTTATTTTTCAAATAAAAAAAATATTAATTATAAATTTAATGAATGAATAACAAAAAATGACACATTATTTAATATATTTTTAACGTATATGTAAATAATTAAAATGTAACTTTATTGTTTTAAAACTGTTCAAATGTTAATTCTAAAAAATCCTCAATTTGTCTTTTATACACAAGTTTATTGTTTATTCTGGTAACTACCATATCATCAAAATTATATAACAAAATAATATTCTACATTAATGTTTTTCTGAAAATAATGCTTAATAAAAATTAATGCAACAAATTTTAAATAAGACAACTTGAATTTATTCTAAATTTTGAAATTTTAATGAATATTTATGAATTTTAAATACAGTAGAACCTCGATAACCCGGCACTCCAGATAACTCGGCCACACCCTGGCAGGGCAAAAAAATCCTTAGTTAATTAATTTTCATTATAGACAGCTTTATAAAAATATAAAAGCTCTCAAAGTATTTTTCTGAGGTCTGTCTTATCAGGTAAATTACTGTACACAGTGTATTCATTAATTTTCATTTTCATGTAGTAAAGGCTCTATGCCTTCATAAAGGACGTACTTTTCCTTTGTTTAAGGGTATTTGGGCAGTTTATTCTCTGTTGTATTCTCAAGCAAACAATACATACAAGTACAGTACAATATTTTCTGAGGAAACACACATACTTATCCTTTTTTAACCCCATTCCCGATAACCTGGCATTTTCACAAACTCGGCCACCCTTCGGTCCACATTAGGCCGAGTTTTCGAGGTTCTACTGTATTGTCATATTTGTTCAGTTTCTTTCTTAAATGGCAAAGCAATTAACTATAAACAATTTTCAGCTACAATATTTACTATCATTTAGTGAAATAAATATAAATCTAATAAGTAATATCATATATGTTTTGCCTTATAAAGTGATTTATATTGGGGACTCAACATTTTTTTATGTCACTTTTTGAGAAAAAAATATTATTTACAGAATAAGACATATTTGACTTAGAGGACCTATAGGATCCTAATTTTCAGATAAATTTTAGATACAAAAAGTGTCTTATAAGGCAAAAAATATGGTAATTTCACAAATTAAAAATTATAGTTTTAAATACTTTAAAATTCATATGATGTTCATGTACTAAATAATTTAATAAATTTAATATATTTTAGTTACTATATTTCTGTACTTTATCTCATTTAGCTCATTAGATAAAATTTGAATTGTTTAAACTTTTTAAGATTTGTTTTTTCTTGGAATATATGTGAAAATGTTTAAAAGTTATATTTGACTTTGCTTATAGTTTGTATTAGAATTTAACCTGATGCTGTATTAGAATTATTACTGTTAATTATGTATGAACTAAAGATGAGATTATTATTATTTTTTTAATTTCAACTTAAAATTGGCTTAAAATCATAATTTTATGACAAAAGTTTTATAATATATTATTCTTACCTGATTCTTAGTGCAAGCTACTTAGATTCTGACAGATAACTTGTAAGGCAACTTTCCAAAGTTTTTTTTCTTTTAAATCCTTATCTGTTTATATCGGTACTATTGGTAATATGAACATATTTTAGTATATTAGCTTAGAATTCAAGTTTCTGCTGATTTATTCTTTCATCACCTGAAGTCATTTGATAAAACACTGGCAAACTTGAACTCGCTTAAGATTTTTATCTGATATAAGGTTTCATTGTAATGGGCTTATAAGTGGTACACCCACAAAATAAGAAATTTATGTTTGATGGCTATATTTATTGTTATTTCAAATTTTATCTCTTTTTGTAATCAAATGCAACTGTGCATGTCTCTGTTTAAATTTTGATTATGTTCAGATATTTAAAAAGTGTTCTGTTTGGTTTTCATTATATGCTGCCTGCTGATCATTTCAAATGAATGAAAACACTTGTATTAGTAAATTTTAATATTTGTCTGCTGAGTTTGGAGTGTTTTGACACCTTTTGTATTTTGTACAAACAGTTAAAGTGGTGAATAAACTAATAAACGTTTTTTTTTTTTAATACTAGATATAACTAAATAGATAAAAATATATATGAAGCATGCAATACCATAATGTTGTAAATATCATTTTTCTCTAAATGCATTTTCTTGAAGAAATAAATTCTAAACACAATGTTTTCTGCTGCAAAGAAATATTGTGGCAATAGTGGCACTGTAAGTGGCTTGCCATTTACAGTGCCACTATTATTGCTTGCACATAAATTCAACTTCAATGTTTCAAGTGCCAAAGTGCAAGTCACATGATTTCTGGCACTGAAAACATTATGGCTCATGTTTACACCATTTTGTTAGTAAGTTACAAATTCTCTGGAATAAGTTTTTTTTTACCATTTTATAGTAAAATTGAAATTAATTCCTCCATGACTTAAAGGAATTCATTCACTAGAAAGTGTTTTTCTCTCTCTCCTGAAAAATTTGTTTTTGGCATTTATAACATTACAGCATTGCATGCTTCATATATATATATATATATATATATATATATATATATATATATGTAATTCAATGTAAAAAAAATACATTTATATATATATATATAACTGTGGTATTTCAAAATATGTAACCACAAACACATCAAGGGCATACCCAGGAGGTGCTTATGATACTGCAGCACCTTCCTGATACCAAAGCAATCAATTTTATTACTTTAAAATAAAAATAAATAAAATAATGCATATTGAATAAGGTCAATAACAAAAAGTAATATTTTGCAAACAGTAAAAAAGCAGAAAAATCTAAACTAATAATTCTTGAAAACATATCAAAAAGTGTGGAGTATAGACTGAAGATGCTGTAATTTAAATTCAAAATAAGTAATTTCAATAATTTCTATTGACAATAAAAATGTAATGATTTTATGCTCTTTCTATTTCTCCTTTTGGATCATACCAATTAAAAATCATACTGTAATTTGTATGATTTATAATCAATTAATTCAAAATTATCAATTATCTACAGTGGTGCCTCGTATAACGTACGCTGCAAATAACGGACTTTCTGTTTGGCCGTTACGTGACTCGAGCAACGGACTGGTTGTGGACAACGGACTTTCCGTTCGGCAGTTACGTGAGGCGACCAATGGACTTTCTACGAACAAGTGCAAATGATGTTTCCACTCTTTTGCAGTTGCTAATGACAATATGTTATTTTTATAATATATTAGTATTATTAGAATATATTATCAGTATATCTAAAGTACAGAGCGTTGGGATTACGCTTGCTCCCTTGTTTATTAGGTACATCAACACAGTGCAGGGTATTTACATTTATTCAAGTGTTGTGCAAATCATGGCTTCTAAAAAAACAGAAAACAATGCAAGAAATCATCAGAAGGAGTGAAAGTTGACAAAAACTTCCTTGTCCAATGGGGAGAGGTTCAGGAGTTTACCAACACTCATTATCCAAACAGAGCTGAGGCCAACGAGATCAATGATCTCTACAATGACACTCTTGCCCGTCATTTCCAACAGGTGTTGAAAAAGAGAGAGAAGCAGACCACCTTGGACATGTTTTTCAAGAAGCAAGCCACCAAAAAACAAAGGATGGAACAAGAGGAGTTGACCCCGCAAGATCCGGTAGCCTCTCCTGAATCTGAATCCGATTAAACAATAAAAAAAAAACCCGCTGCAATGAGTAAAAAGTCTGTATCTGTATGAATGTGTGAAGAAAGTGTTCTTCCACCTCCTCCTCACAACATCTGACTACCCGGCATAATTGGTGACTGCTCCATTTTCATTTTTTTATGGTACAGTATGGTTATTTTATGCTGCAGAACGAATTATATGTTTTAACATGTATTTCTATGGGAAAATGCGTTTCTTATAACGGACTATTCACTTAACGGACATGCACCTGGAACGGATTAAGTACGTTATACGAGGCACCACTGTATTTTCCATCTTACATTTAACAATTTTAAAAAGCTAGTGAAAAAAGAATTATGTAAAAAAAGTTAGGTATCTAAGGTAATTGAGTAACATTCACCAAAAAATTGGTAGGAAACTTGCCTTAGTACACCTCTTGTACCATATTCTCAAAATCCTGGATATGTCACTGATACATGTGACAGTGTAATAAGAAAATTTTGCATTAAATTGCTATTTGTTAATAGAGATAACAAATTTATCATCTACACAATATACATGAATAATACATTGGC